ATAGGCTTGAGCGGCGCTTGGCTGCGAGGGCCGCTTGAGGCTCCGCGGAGCTTTAATAATATTTTTGCCACTGATCAACCCCCAACAAAATGGCGCCCAACATTATGGTTTCCAACGTTATGGCGCCCAACTTGGGGTGGTTCTGTCGGTTTTTCTGGTCATCTGTGGTTAATTTTTAAATCCATTAATGTTTGTTCTTAAGCTAAGGGTGCTTTCACCTCTGATGGTCCACTAGATTTGGTTTCACTGGGAACCAAAGTTGCAACACTAGTTACATTTTAAGCTGCTGCAGTTCTCTTTCACACCAACCAAACCCTTTGAAAAACCTGTTCCCCTCCTCGCCCGTGAGGGCGCTGCACCGACAACCACTGAAGGAAACAACATAAAAACCTCTGAAGAAGACACTGAGCACAACTTCCTTCATGAAATGTAAATAAAAATGGAGTGATGTCAGATTTTAGTGGTTGTAGTATTTCCTTTTTATCTTTGGTCAAAGGCCACAAGTCATTATTCCTCCTAGTGCTGGTCTTATCATTTGTTTTGGTTGTATTTACCCAGAATCCCCTGCACTGTAGTCAATTTCCTGCTTTTGGAGCCGTCTCTGGTCTGCTTGGTGTTCACATATCAGTATAAACCACACCAGAGTTCACTTTAACTGAACCAACACCGAGGTTTGTAGGAGAAACAGATTCGCTTCTTTGGTCCGATTGAGCATTCACACCTCCCCAAATGAACTGGACTTTCTGGGGGTCCAAAATCCAAATCCAAACGGTCTGGATTTGGATTAAAGTGGACTGAACAGCACAGGTGGGAAAATACCCTTAAGGTTCATTAACACCAGCCCTGTTAAGTCCGCTCTAATCCAACTGGAGTCCGTCTAGAAAGTTTGGTTTGTTTGAGGTGTGAATGCGTTATTGAATTCTGATCCACCTACAAATCTAGGTTTCAATTCGATTGAAGTGAACTCTGGTTCGGTTTGAATGCATATGTGAACCCCAAGCGGATCGGAGACCGTTCCAAAAGCAGGAAGTGGACTACCGCGCAGGGCATTCTGGGTAAAAACAACCAAAACCAATCCACTAAGCTCGTGCTAGCGGGAGAAATAGCTAGTGTTCTTTTATCTAAGACAAAAGAGAACTTAGATTTTAGATTCTAGCACCTGTAGGTGCTAAAATCTGATGTCACTGCATCTTTGTTTCTATTTGGTGAAGAAGGAAGTTTTGCTCAGTGTCTTCAGAGGCTTTCATGTTTTCTTCTGGTTCTTGGTGCAGCGCCCTCACAGGCCAGGAGGGGAACAGGTTGCTCAAAGGGTTTGGTTGGTTTGATTCAGAGCAGAGAGAAAGAGAATCACAGCAGCTGCAGGTGGAGCAGATGATGTAACTTTGGTCCAAACCAAATCTACCGGACTGTCAGGTGGAAGTCATGGTAACCTGAGGTGAGCAAAAAAGGTCCAGAATGTTTACAAGCAATTTAGTCCTTTAATTTAGCGCCAACTAAACATGTGAACCAGACACCAACTTCAGTGCTGTTAGCCATTAGCTATAGCTAATACTAGCATACAGGCCACTTATGACACTTAACAACCTCACTTGGTTTGTGAATCTTCCTGCAGACTCTGATCAGAGCTCTTAGGCGAGGAGGTCGACCTTCCTGCAGGTCATCCTGAGTCCCGGAATAAAAGCGGCGCTCCTGACCAACCGTAGCTCCTCATGCAGCGCTGTCACATCTTAAAGCCTGCAATCCAATTATCACACAACACATGATGATGAACTCAGTCTGAGGAAACAGCCTGAGATGCAGTCAGCGGCTGGTTTCAGCAGCAGACGAGTTTTATTCCTCATTATGCTGAGAAGCAAAATAAAATGTTCTGTTTTACATTCAAAACAAATATAATTGGGTGCAAACCGCTCAGCTAAGCAGATTTTAATTCATTGGGTTCAACAATAAACTCTCCAGAATAATGAGTGACAAAATCAATTTTACTGAAAACAAAGCAGATGTTTTCTGTCTGACTTTTGATTGCTCATAACATTGAGGACGAGCTGTAGTCTAGTCTTTGTTTCTACACAGCTCCGTTGAGATCTGGACTTTGACTAGGCCACTGCAACACCTTGATTCTTTTGTTATTTCAGTGTTTCTCTTGTTGACTTAATCATTATCGTTCTGTCGATAATCCAGTCTGGTGCATCTGGCCAAATTGATGGGCCTCAAATTTGTCTCTTTTGGCCCACTCAAAGAAAAAATAAAAAATGAAATTACAAAAATAAACAGATACAAGAATAAAGTCAACATAATACAATAAATTATTAGTAATAAGAGAATAAAGTCATAAAATTACAGAAATGAACTCAGAAAGGAATACATTAAAAATAAAACAAGAATAAAGTCAAAGAAATAATAGAAATAAAGTTGTAATTACAAGAATAAAGTCGTACAAGAATAAGGTCAAAATAATACAAAAATAAAATCTTAAAATTACGTGAATAAAGCTAAAATAACACAAGATTAAAGTCATAATAATTTAGAATCAAGGTCATAAAATTATGGGAATAAAGTCAAACAGTAGTGTTGCAGTGTTACGTATTTATCATAATACTTTTTTATCTCATTTCTTTATATATTTTTTTATTTTCTTTGCCTAGCCCTAATAATTGTAATCTTCTCATCTGTAAAATCAGACCTAACTCTTTGAATCCGACCAGATTCCCACCATCCGGCTCTCTTAACCTGCGGTTCTCCTCTTCGCCCTGCAGGCTGCTTCCTGTTCTGCTGGACGCCGTTCTTCGTGGTGCACACGATGCGAGCATTGTGCCTGACGTGCAACATCCCCGACGCGCTGATGAGCACCGTCACCTGGCTCGGCTACGTCAACAGTGCCCTCAATCCCATCATCTACACCATGTTCAACACAGAGTTCAAGAAGTTCTTCAAGAAATGTTTCCGCAGCTGCTGCTGACAGTGGATTGCTGCCTCCGCAGACTGAAACACCAGAGGAGGTTTGGGTTCACAACATCAGACTGGGACGTTTCCAGTTCGCGAGCCGAACTGGAAAGAAGAGAAAGAACATTTTTGTTAAAGTTCTGATTTCATTTGAGGTTTTTATGGATTTTATGTAAAATACTAATGGACTTTGTTTGGTCTGAAATAAAGATTTATTTGACCAGTTCAGACCTTTTGTGGGAGGATGCTGTCCATCCGCCTATAGCTGGATCTGCTAGCTACAGTCCTGGATAAGAAGATTTATAAGGAGACTGAAGAACACAACAGGTCTGGAAAGATTATCCAATAGCAAAACCTTTGGTGGGCACTGCTAGCTAAAAAGCTAGCTGTGATAATGCTAATGCATTAATTAGGAACTTTAGTTCTGCTAACACTAAATCACTAACCATAAACTTTAGTTCTGCTAACACTAAATCACTAACCATAAACTTTAGTTCTGCTAATTCTAAATCACTAACCATAAACTTTGTTTTTATTTTTGTTTGCATGGCTCCAGTAGCCTGTTGTACTAAAGTGCTACACCAACATGGTGTTTAGCAAAAACTAATGCTAAAGTGCTAGGATGCTAAGTTTTGTGTGAAACCGAATCACAGCAGCGGGAAATGTAAATGTTCCAATTTTGGTCTGAAATCAAACCGATTCTGTGATTATTGTGTTATAATTGGGTTATTATAGTTTTGGGTTATTCATCATAGTTTAATGTTCTTTTGTTTGTCTACTCAGTTAGTTTTAATGAATTTTAGAGTGCATTTGCTAGTTTTTATTAGTTATTACTAGCTAAATATTTAGTTTCAGTTTAGTTTTTATTAGTTATAGCAGTAGTTTTTTTCATACTTTGGTATTATTTTAGGTGTAGCAAGGTTTTGACAACACACGAGAGCAGATTTTTATTTCTGAGAGAAAACTGTAAAATACTTAAAGCTTATGAAGAAACTGAGAGCAGTTCTGGTTCACCAACAGCGATGCTTTTTGATAGATGCTACATTAAATGAGACGAGTTCTGAATAGAAACCCAGCTGAGACGTGTAAATTGGACACCAGAGGACACACACTGGGTGTTATTAAATATTAAGCAGAAATGTCTTCTGCTCCAATCTGCAGCTCTGCAGCAGGAAGGTTAGAGAAGACGTCAGAGAGGAAGCAGCGTTCCAGACTTTGATGAGGGAGAAACAGGTGTTGGCTCTCAACAAAACACCAACATCTGTGAACTCAACTTGTTCCAGAGTTGTTTATCTGGAAAAACAAACATCATTGTTACCAGAACCAGAACTAATCAAGGTGAGGCAGCGTTCAGTTTTTAATCTCTTCAGCTGAAACAAACAGCTTTTAAAGGTGTTGTGTGTTTTCCAGTCATAGTGAAACTTTATATCACAATCAAGTAACAATGCATATGTAGCATTGTTATAAAAATGCTACATATGTCAAATATGACTTAAAAGGAATTTGACTTCCTGATATAACGCCTTAACCCAACCACTGCCAACGGCTCCAACAGCTGCAACTGAGGCTCAAACTGGTGATTATCCTCACATCCAAAGAGCATTTGCTGTTAGATACATGAAGAATAACCTCTCAGTCTGCTGACTCTCATCTAACCTCCATCTGTCGCAGTCGAATACTTCAGATGGTGACTGATTGGTGAGCAGAGAGCTGTCTGCTGTTTCTGCTGTTTCATGCATCATTACATGATGCTAAATTTGCTCAGTGGACGAATGACTTCCTGTGAGCAGATGTGAGCAGGATATAAATGGCGGAGCTGGAGAGGCGATAAATGGCGACGCTGGACACCTTTTCAGCTCTGAATGTCTTTATGTTTGCTTAGTCAGCAAGATGAGGCAGAAACAGAGGAGTTCATCCCTACAAGACACAACTAGACTTTCCTTTGCAATCTATTCCTGTTTATTTAAATAGTTCTGCACCTGAGTCATTGTGAATTGTGAAATGTCCTCATTTGGAAAACCTTATTTCTCAAAAACAGATCTATCTATTCCTTCAGAATTTGTTTTAGACCTTAAGGCAGAGAAAATGTTTTATTATCCAGAATCTACTTCACAGTTGGATTCTGCTGCTGTGTAACAAAACAAAGCAGAAAAATCCTATGGAAGCTCAGAAAGGCCTGCCAAAAAATAAAATTAATAAAAAGTAAGCACATAAATTATTTTTGTTACAACGTTAGAAGTTATCTAAGACAGACGAAGAGTGCCAGGCGAAGAAAGAAAAATAAATTACAAGAATAAAGTCATATGACAAAAAGTCTAAAATATTATTAGAATAAATTTGTAGTAACACATTTAAAAACTCATAATATTATGAGAGTAATATAATGTTACAAGACCAAAGTTACACAACAAAAAGTCATATTGGGAGGTTAGTTGTGATAGTATGAGAAAAAAGTCGTAATGTTCCAAAAATAGATATAAGACCAAATGTTATATGAAAGTAAAATCATAACATTATGAGAGCCAGCAGCCATTGTACAGTGGCTAGTGGCTAGCAGTAAAGCTAGCTGATTAAAACGTGCTGTAGTTTTGCTTGGGTTGCTAGGTAACAGGCAGAGTTCTGCTTGGGTTGCTAGGTAACAGGCAGAGTTCTGCTTGGGTTGCTAGGTAACGAGCAGTAAAGCCTGCTGATTTCAGCAGTTTCAAAAGCAGGAAGTTTTTGAAACAGCTAATTTTCCAAACACCAAAAAAACATTAAATTATTGCCAAAATGTGCTTGGGTGTGTTTTTTCAGAAGCAGTTGAGACCCAAAATGGAAGTATAAAAGTGTGCAAAATTTTAATTTTGGTTGCCTTTAAATAACTTAAATAACTGAAGGTCACGTAGTTACTTGATTGTGCTATGAAATGGCACTCTGTGTCTGGTAAATAGATGCAACTGCATCAGTTATAACATTGAAACACTTTAAACACAAACCCCTCAGTAACCAAAGCATACAAACAAAACCAAAATTAAAACATAAAATATTGTAAAACTATTAATGATAATCAGCTGATTTCAATCAAAACAAACCATGTGAAAAGTGAGACAGATAATGAATAATAACCAAAATGCTTTAAAGTTTTTCCTCCACAAAGAACATCAACACAGACAGAAAAGATTTCACTTAAACTACATTACCTGTTATTTTCAAAGCAGCTCCTTGAAATGCATTTTACTCCAGACGGGACAGGAAAGGGCGATCAGTGTGAGGATTTGATTTAAGAATCAGTAGGAGGCGCTGAAGTCCATCTGATCTGTAATGATCTTCAACACAGCAACCTATAAAAACCTGACAGAGCTCAGAGTCTGAGCAGACATCAGAAAACCTGTTCAGGTTCAAATAAAAAGATCAATTCAGATCTCTGCGGTTTATCCCAGTCCCAGAGTATTAATTACCTCCCAACTCTCAGTTTTATTTTATTATTATTTATTATTAGCATTTTCTTACAGATGACAACAAATTTACTAGAAACGTCACAGTCACTTCTTCTACTCATTTAAATCCTTTAGCAAAGAATGAAGGTGCAACGCCCCCTGTTGGCACCTAAAGCCAAATTAACAGTAAATCCATGTTGTCTGCAGGAAAAAACACCAGAAGTTTTAATAAAATAGAGAAACACTGGAGATAAATATCCACTTTGTGTTTGCATAGATGGTGGTGTTATTGCTGCAGTCCAGCTAGTGGTTACAGGAAATTAGAAAAGCTGTGGTTTGAACTCACATCAAAAATTATTTAAAAATTTGTAGCACAATCCATTTGTTGGGTTTTAAGGCAATATTTTTAGGAGGAAGGTGTGTTCACACCATCCCTGTTTGTTTTAACCGAACAGCAGTGTGTTTGTGTAGAAAGTTTGGTTCATTTGGTGAGGTGTGAATGATTAATCAAACCAAAAACTTAACTCCGGTCCACCTAACTTTATTGTCACAATCTTAGGTTTCTTTTCTTGGTGTAGCCCTAACACTCCATTGTAGGTTTAAGCATTAAATGCCAATAAATTTGGTGTAAAACTGTTTAAATTTTACCTCTTTGTTTAAATAAAATGAAGCCTGAGGAAGCGTGAGCTTCTCTTCTACATTTCAGCATTTCTTTCCCACCAGTTCAGTTGAAATCAAGATGTGTAACAGCTGCATTACTGCATGGTATTCCTTCACAATGAAGGTTTAAAAAAGGTGAGAGGTCTTTTGTTTCTCTGCAGGATTTCTGGTAATGGACCCGTCACCGTGGCAACGAAATGAAATGGAAATCAGAGCTTTCGCAATTGTGTTAATGCTGGTTTATTTGAACGTTAAACAGAAATAAATTAGTACATGGGTGGTCCGTTTGATTGATCGGCTTCCACACTTCAGATCATTAATGCATCAGGAAATGTGATTGCAGCTGTTGGAAAACTCCTAAACATTCCCTCTGAGTCGCCTGCAGCTGCATGTAAAACCTTTAGGATCCATAATGTGGAAAACAACTGAAAAGGATAAACAGAGGAACAGAAATAAATCTAAGAACATTTTTAACTGTTTTGCTGATGTTTCATTGTATTTTTAGGATTTAAACATATTTATTGTATTAGTCAAGCTTGTATAAAAAGGCTACTCAACTGCTGCATAATTGATAACTTACCAATCATTTAATATCTAAAAATCACAAAAAGTAGAGACAAAGTACATTTTTAAGCCTATGAAACTTTAACAAAACCTGCAGGTGAGTGTCTAGTTTTTGGTTACTCACAGTGGGCAGAGTATCCAGGAAAACTTGGAAATATAAGTTTCAAAAGTCAAAAATCTGCAAGAAAAAAACAGAAAATTTGAAGTAGAAAATTTTCTACTTTTGAAATTTTCTGAGATTAGACATTTTTCTGAGTTTTTTTGGCAGAAATTTGCTCTTTTTTTCTATTTGCAATGGTCTTAAATGTGCCATCATATAATACTCTGTAAATTCTGATAAAAGATATTTTCAGTGCTGGGAGAAAACATCACCACATCGACGCATCGCTGGGAACAATTCATATTTTTCTGACTTGACAATCCAGATCTGCAGTTATTCTAGTAAATATCAGAACAGCTTTTATTTTCAGAAATCTGGTCATTTATTGTTTTACCTTTTACCGCAGGGGTCCCCAAAGTGGGTCCTGGAGGGCCGGCATCCTGCATGTTTTAGTTCTTTAACACACCTGGATCAAATGATGGCTCATCAGAGGCCTAAGAAGAACATTGACATGCTGAAAAGGTTGTTACTGTTGTTACAGGCAGGATGGCGGCCCTCCAGGACCCACTTTGGGGACCCCTGGTTTACGCTCCTCTGTGTTCCGGACAACATGGCTCCATGTTGGCCATTTCAGCTGCACTCTGGCTCCCTCTGCTGGCCGCTCTAAACTTTCCTGTTTGATTTCCATTTAAAGGGAAATTCATTCACAATAAAGTTCTGATTTAATAATTTTTAATGAGTTTTATTCGATTATAAAAACAAAAAAACTGATAAATTAGTCGAATTTCTTCGGAATGTCTTTTTTTAATATATGTGCACCAATTTTTGAGACTTGTTGCTACTTATTTGCTTCTTCAAAGGCCAGTTAGATAGATGCTACATTTATCTTTTACTTTAAAGATTAATCGTGTCATGGTGCAAATATTAAAATCATTTAAATTTTAATATACAATTAAATACTTTTTATTGACAGTTAAAGAATTATGGATGCACTTATTTAATAAAGAAATGACCATATAAAATCTAAAACTAAGTATTTACTTCGATACTCTTGGTATTCCAAATGGAAATATGTTTGAATAAAACTGCAAATTAAATTTCTGAAGGCCAAAACTAAATTAATAAAAAAGGAAAATACAGAATTAAATTTAGAAACATAAGCAGAAGAAAATTATAAACAGATACATTAAAAATATCGATAAAATAATTCATTTTAATATGAAGTTTTATTCAGTGATATTGGCAGATTTAGCCAATGAAGTTTAAATTGAATACCATCGTATATTGCAAAACAATAACCAATAGTAGGTTAAAAATGTAAGCATCTGACTTAATAAATAACAAAATGTTTAAAAATACAAACGTTCTCCGTGATGAAGGGGCCGGAACATTTTGATTTCAATTTTCTAATCACAAACAAATATTCAGTTACAGGAGCTGAAAGTTGCTTTTTTAAAGAAACCAGGAGAAAGAAACATCAAATAGAAATACACATTTCAGATGTAACTAAAAGTTAAAATGAGTTAAAATCTGCACATATTCAAGACTTAAAACTTTATTTGATCAGGTGTTATTACATAAAACAGTGATGGGAGTGAAATAGAAACACAGCAGCTGTTACCACAACAGCATACTAGCGCTACTGCAGACAGAAAAAATGAGTTAATTTCAGCCAAAAACACATAAATTTCATAAGTGGAAAATGTTCAACTTTTCAAACTTAGAAAATTATCGAAAATCAAAAATGTTCAGCTTTTAAACTCAGAAATGTCCATGTTTTTTTTCTAGAAAACTTCTAAAATTACTCTAAAAAATCAGTTTTTTCTTTTTGAGTAAATTTGTGACTTAAAACTCTGGAATTTTCCCTTTTTTTCCTCAAAGATGTGTAAGATTAATCTAAAAATTTCTGATTTTTTTCAAGCAAAAATTTTGACTTCAGAAATTTTGACTTCAGAAGTTTCCCTGTGTTTTCTAGAAAATTTCTAAAATTAACCTGAAAATGTTTAGTTTTTTGGGGGAAATTTACTCCTCTTATTATTATTATCCACAATGGTTCTCATACACCGTCGTACGTCACAGACTTTGATTTCTCATAAAACTGAGAGCAAACGAACCGAGTTCCGCTCAGTTTCTTCTGCTCTGAAAATCAGAGCAAAAGTCAGAAGAAGAATCAACAAATATCAACAAATCTAAAAACCCATAAAAATCATCAAACTTCCTGACTTCCGGCCGCCATTAGAGCGTCCAGCTCCTGAGTCCAGCCCAGAGCGTCGACCAGTTCCTTCACGCCGGTGACCACGTCACCCAGCTGCGTGACGTCATGAGGCCGCCGCCCCCACGCGAAAGGCCCCACCAGGTCCCGGTTGATGAGGAGGCGGGGCACGGAGCTGCGCACGGCTCCGGCCAGGCTGGCAAACGGCTCCACCTGCAGGACAGAAAACGGGGCTCTTCAGCGCTAAAACCGGCCGCCCAAACGTCCTGCAGACAAGCTTCGGTTGCTAGGTAACGGCGCGGGAGATTTTTGAAACGGCTTAAAATAAAACCCACCACACCTTCAGAATTAAGTTTTTATCATTATCTTTTAATGTGCTAAAACAATGTACAGCATGATAAATTAAACCAAGCTCAATCCATTTTCATGATTTATTGTTTTTCTCTTTCAACCAAAAACTGGATGACTAAAGTCTTCAGTTCAACACTTTGGTCTCAATTAACCCTTTTTTTTAAGGACAATTTTGTTTGCAGAGACTTTCTAATTCATTTTATTTGTTGTTTCTGTTGTTTTGTTGATTTATTTTGGATATTTTAAATGTCTTCCAGTTCCAGTGGAAATGTTTATTAGGACTTAAATATTATTGATCTCTAAGAGAGTGTCATTGCATTATTATGCCATTACAATTTACTTTATAATGGTTTCAAAACAACAATATTATTGTTTATCACAATAACTTCTGGGACAATTTATCATCCATATATGTAGCTTATGTTATACATCAGTGTTTGAAATGGATATAAATATCATGAAACGTTGACATTTACTTTGTTTAAAAAATAAAGTCTGTTTGTCTGTGGCATTGGCTACTGTGTGCTGTGCTGCTTTCAGGAGTGAAGAAAAACTAGAGATGACAGTCTGAAGTAGAGGAAGAGAAAAAACTAAGAGTTTCTACAGAGGGAAGGGTCCAGGAAACTGGATCATTACTGTCAGGCTAATTCATTTTACAAACCACCACTTCACAAATGTCTCTTAAAAGATGTGGACCGAAGAAAACAAAGTGTCAGCATGTTTGGTTGCTATGACGCTTACCTCCAGCGACGTTCCCATGACGATCAGCAGGTCGGCCAGCGGGAAATCCGTCAGGTACTTGAAGAAACTCAGAGGAAGTTCCTCCCCAAAAAACACGATGTCAGGCTTCACCACGCCCTTACAGGTGGGACACCGAGGGACGGCCCCGCTCATCACCTCTGGCTGAAAACATGACAGGCTGGTTCATACCTACCAAGATGGCTGCCAGCTACAAGGTTCCCAGAAGTGTAGCGTAACATGAGAAGTATGTATTAGCAGGTTTTTAGCATTTTGCTAATTTCATTCCAACTCGGCAAAATTTGGATTTTGGTAAATGTGGTGTATTTCCAATAATATTCACTGTTCCATTTAAGTCAAATCAATTAAATTCATAAAGTGAAGACTTTGTGACTCACTCTGAGCTCCTCGCCATCATATTTCCGCAGGCAGGAGGTGCAGGTGGCCGTTGCAAACGTGCCGTGCGCCTCCACCAGCATCTCCGGAGGAACTCCTGCAACTTGATCCACACACAGCGGAGAGCAAACATTAAAACACAACAACACCCATCCGGACTGCAGGGAGGTTTGGAAATACCTACGTCTCTCCAGCCCGTCGATGTTCTGCGTGTACATCCGCAGCAGCTGGCCCTTCTGGTGAAGCAGACGGACAAAGTAGTGTGTCAGGTTGGGCTGGTAGTTACCCGGGTACAGCTCTTTGGCCAGGGCGAAGAAGGGATTTGGGTTTCGATGGAAGAATCCGATCTCGAAGATGGCCTCAGCGTACGGCAGGTCGTACTGCTGCAGGTTGTCATACAAGCCGCTGCCTGGAGACCTGCAGGTCCAGAAAACAAACATGGGACATTTTTGTTTATTATATATGTAAATAGTCTTAATTTAAATGTGACTCATGCAAAATTGTGTGTTTATGCTGATGTTTTCTATTGTTCTGGTCTCTCACTAACAGTGCTTTTAAGCATCCATCCATTCAGGCATTATCTTACACGCACATCCCTATTGAGGTCGCAAGGGGTGCTGGTTGCTTTTATTCATTTACAGTCAAATCTTTATCAACTTAAGCTTGTTTTAGGCTGTCTTACCACCTGATAGTCCGGTACATTCGGTTTGATTGGGAACCAAATTTGCAACATTTGCTACATTTTCAGCTGCTGCGGTTCACTTTCATGCTGGACTGAGTCAAACGAACCAAACTAATTGGAAAACCTGTTCCCTTCCTCGCCTGTGGAGGCACTGCACCAAAAACCACTGAAGGAAACGACACAAAAACCTCTGGAGACACTGAGAGCAACTTTGTTCTTCACCAAATGTAAACAAAAATGGAGGCGTCAGATTTTAGCAGTTGGAGGATTTCTCTTTTGTCATTTCTTCTGCTAGTGCTAGACTAGCATGTTTGTTTTGGTTGTATTTACCCAGAATGCCTTGCACTGTAATCCACACCCTGCTTCTGTAGCAGTATCTGGTCCGGTTGGCGTTCACATATGCACTCAAACCACACCAGAGTTCACTTCAACCGAACCCAGACTGAGGTTTGTAGGCGGACCAGAGTTCACTTTTTTGGTCCGATTTCAAACATTCTAGGCAAACAAACTGGAATTGGATTAAAGCAGACTAAACAGGGCTGATGTGAATGCTCCTTTAAGTACAAATAAATCAAAGATGATGCTGCTTTCTAATTGGAGATTTGAAAGAAAGGATTTTCCAGTCATTGCTACAACTGAAGATCTGAAAATTGAAAAAGTGTCACTGTATGAATATTTAGGATTTTTAATTGATGATTCTTTGTCTTTTACTTCCCACATTCAACAGCTGGCAAAGAAGCTGAGATTAAAATTGGAATTTTATTTCAGGATTAGCTCCTGTCTACTAATCAGAGGCGGGTATTTGCACCTGAAATCTGGGATGCCACTCGGAGTGCTGATCCCGGCTCCGGCCATCACCACCACCCTTTTGCAGCGCCGCTCTCGGATGTTTTCGGCGACATCCTGCAGAGTCTGTGGCTGAACGGATTCACCTCCACCACCAAACAGTCCTCTTATTATTATCCTCTGGAGAAACGACTCCTGTCTGAGAAGAACTGAACATTTGTATCAGCAAAAACTTCACTGAAAAACAAGAAACAAAGACCAAGCAGAGTTATTTCATTCTTATTACATCTGAATGTCACGTTTAAGTCAAATCATTAATACCTTCAGCTGAAAAAAAGTTTTTGTAACTGATTTAAACTGTTTTCCAGCCCAGGAAACGGAAGGAAACATGTAGCTCAGGTATATAATACTGTTCATCTTAAATTCAAAGTTGGGTAGTAACTTAATTTAAAACTCATAAAATGTACTTTTATGAGTTTTTTATAACTACGCTGCAAATTATACTTTAACTTGAGGAACTTTATTGCTTTACTCTCACTTGAGTAAAATTTCTGGATACTCTATGACTGTGAGTAACTTCACTGAATGAACAACAATCTTGTCTGAATCAAAAATTCACCAAATATTGAAACACACCTGCAGTTTTTGGAAAATTTTCATAAGTTTTATATATATATATATATAAAGATGGAAAATGTTTCTTTTATCTGATGTTATTTTGTAAAATGAATTATTATTTTGGCCCTTAAAATACCAAGATTTCCAAATATCTTTATATAACGGTAAGTCTGATGAAGGGATTCTTAAATATTAAATGATTAATGATTTTACCAGTTTCTCAGTATCTTTTTACTCTTGAGTAATTTAATTTGACTTTAACTTCAGTAAAAATATGTTGAAGTAGTTCTACTATTACTTGAGTACAATTTTTGAGTATTTTACTCAAATCCTGGTTTATTTATAAAAACATATGTCACCTCAGCAGGAGAAGTACCTGAACAAAGATACTGAACTTTCAATTGGACTCAACCTACTGGGACCTGCAAAGAAAAACAGCGCAATGTCATGCATTATTATTATTATTATTATTATTATTATTATTATTACCAGTTCTGGTGGGTGGAAGAGTTTAGCTGTCAGTCCACTAACCTTTTGTACGGATCGTCCTGGCTGCTACTGAACTCAACCTGCGGTCCAAACAACACAGTCTGACAGTTAAAGACAAGCCAGCCATCCCGCAGGATCGGTTCGGATCCGGTTCTGTTGGTTTATGAAGACCGACACCACCTAACAACTCTTAAAATCACGTCAACGTGAGGGAAGTTGTCAGTTTTCCTGCTAAAATATTTGCTGCTGTCCTTTCTTGAATGCTACGTTCATGGTAACTCGGAATTAGCAGGTTCAACAAGACCCAATTAAGTTTGTTTGGGTACGTCAGTGGTGTCTTGTGTCAGGTTTAGATTTATCCGTGGTTTAACACACATAAAGCAAACATGTGGTTACTTATCATGTTTCTGTAGATCGTAATAACATTGAACCAGTTAGGTTATACACTTATTTTTGATGAACGGACGGCTGATAGGACCCTAAATCTTATTTCCCACACACCTTTGCGACTTGCAGCTGCGCAGACGCAGACTGTGAGCACAGCAAGCTACATAACGTTAGCGGATAGTTTAACAACACTCACCAGCTTTCTGCCTGAAAAAAGTCTTTATTTTGTTTCTACCATGAAAGATGTCAGCGGGTACCTCAAACAACAACAGAGCAGCAGCTCCACGCCAGAGATGGCGGCGGAGTGGCACGGTTTGGAGGATTTCTACAACAAAAGGTAAAAAGTTAGCTGTTAGCTTAGCTTCCGTTAGCTTCCCCATTGATTCTAAACGGCACGCTGAGTCATTGAGCTAACGATAGCTAACTAAAAACAATACTAAAAGCTTATTCTAATGGTTTATGTGAACACGTAATCGGACTATATCATAATGAGGAGGTTTTATTTAAGTTCAGTATGTGAAATATGTACTACTTGCTGACAGACAATTTTGTTTAGAGACTTCATAGTTCATTTTTATGTTTTAGGTCATTTATTTATTTAAAATGTCTTCCAGTCTGAGTTTTAAACGTTCTTTGGAAATTCAAAGTTATTGATCCTGGAGAGTATGATTATTTTTTATCACATTAATTTATTACATAATTTATCGTCCAAAATGTATTATTGTGATGCTGTGTTGTGATCCATAGCAGCCACTATTTATTGACCAGAAATTGCAAAGACGTGTTTGGATGCAGCATTTTATGCATTCAAACCCCGTTTGGTCATTTGAAAGGACATTCACTGCATTTGTGCACACTCGTTTAAATTATTGCAGTATTAAACAGTGAGTTTACTTCTGGGTTAAAGCAGACTGATTATTTTTTTAACTGCCAAAATTTTCTTTTTAATTTATTTCATGATTATTAAATTTTTACTTCCTTTTTTAAAAAAAAAATATTTAGAATTCTTTTTCCGTTTTTTATATCTATATATTTTTTATATATCAATGATTATAATCAATTTACTAAGACCCTCCTTTTTATTATTGTAATATTTTTAACATCATTTTTAAACATACTGGGGTTTTTTTTACTTATTTTTTTTCTTTTAAAAAATATAATTCATGCTTTAAGTTTTTATTTGCATAATTATATTTTTAAAAAGATTTATATATATATATATATATATATATGAATTCTTGATATAGAGATGATTATAACCTTTTTCTATGCAAACCCTTAATGTAAATGTAAACAATTTCATATGATTGTAATTGCAAATTTATAAAGTGAAGTTGAGATTTGAGGGTAGAAAGTTTTGGTATTTAAAAGCATTAAATAGAGTTACAGTCATATTTACAGTCTCTGCCACTGATCTGCAACAGGTTTGTGCATTTCTCTGGGTTTTATTGGTGATTTTGTTTTTACTTTTTGCAGATTATGGCATCAGTTGACATTGAAGCTGACAGACTTTGTCAAAGATCCTTTCTTCAAAACGGGAGACGGCCTCATACAGGTAAATCCCGACTCTCACTGAGGCATACAGAGTCTGTTCCTCAAACTACTGCAGGAACCACAAACTGAGGTTTTAATCTAAATTATTTTTGTTGTAGCTGTATGAAAACTTCATCAGTGACTTCGAACACAGAATCAACCCCCTGTCTCTGGTAGAAATCATTCTTTATGTCGCCAGGCAGATGCCAGGTGAGAACCAGAGGACGGATTTTCTTCAAATGTTTTATTCTCATTTCTTTTTGCGTTTATTGAGATGTTTTCTTCTGGTTTCCAGATCCTAAAGATGCCATCACTTTTCTGGAGAAGACCAAAGAGAAGGTCAGTTATACCTCTGATTATTTTTTTCCTGTTAATTTTACCAATCAGTGTTAATGATCGCTCCAGCCGTGTGTTCGTACGATCCAGGTGAAAAGCAGCGAAGAAGCTGTGATTCTCTGCAAGACGTCCATCGGCAGCCTGAAGCTGGAGATCAGCGACCTTCCTGCCACCAAGGTGAGCCAGATTTAAAACGCTCCGAGGCGCGATTCTGAAAACTGAACTGATTCGTTAATGTAGATCAGGTTAAAATGGGTCACAGCTCATCAAGAGATCAGTTCAGTCAGAAACGTCACAATAAAACAGAAACTTAAACCTTTGCTAAAACTAGAAAAACACAATATGTTAGCAGTAGCATCAGTGTCAGCCATTTTTAACCCGTCAGTTCAACAGATCAGTCATCCTAAAATTGAACAAATGAAATGTGATGGGGAAAAATAAGAACGAGTAAAAAATAAGAGAGAGAGACAGAGGGTGGGAGGAGGGGAAAAAACATGAGAAATGCAAAATTAATCTATAAAACAGCAAGAGAAAATCGCTAACAAATGAGTGAAAGATGAGAAAATGTAAAATAGAGAAAAAAACAGAAAATGATAAACAAAAGGAAAGAAGAAAAATATTAAACGGGAAAAGTTAGGGGGAGTAAATTAAGATAAAAAAGAAAAAATGTTGAAAATGAATAAAATGAGACCGTTGTTTTTTTTAAAGAAAAATGTAAAAATGAATAAAAGGAAAAAACCATAAAAAAATATATATCAAAGGAAAAATGTGTGCAAATGGATAAATGAAAAAACTGCAAAAAATAAATAAAAGAAAATAAATGAGAGAAAAATTTGTGAGAAAATAATAGAAAGGGTAACACTTTATTTGAAGGGGGGGTGAATAAGACTGTCATGACACTGTCATAAACATGACATAACACCTGTCATGAACATCAATAAGTCTTATGAATATTTATGACTGTTGTCATAAAGCGTCATTCGGTAAATTATGACACTTTTAATACAAAGTTGACATTATTCAAAATGTCTTTGTTATGACAACTTGACATTAACCAGGAAATCATTACTGTTTAAATTTTACCTTTAATAACATAAAGTTACCTCATTTTTAAAGTGCAATCAGTAATACTTTTATAACAAATTTATGTCAGTAATGATTTCTTATATATATATATATATATATATATATATATATGAAACAAAATAAAAGGAAAAAAATGAATAAAATTAAAGACCAATAAGGAATAAAAACTAACTGAGAAGTGAATGGAAGGGATGAGGAAGATGGTCTGTGTTTGCTGATCCTTCCATCTCTTCGTTCTCCGCCTCCAGAAAATCATCGAGGAGGTTGAGGAAATGCTGAATAACTTACCCGGCGTCACGTCGGTCCACGGACGGTTCTACGACCTCTCCAGCAAGTATTACCGCATCATCGGGAACCACGCCGCCTACTACAAGGACGCGCTGCGCTACCTGGGCTGCGTGGACATCAAAGACCTTCCAGGTGAAAAACGGTAACCATGGCAACAGCAGCTGAAGCTGAGAAAACCGTCTCTGACTCACTTCCCGTCCACAGAAACAGAGAAGCAGGAGAGAGCGTTCACCCTGGGCCTGGCCGGACTCCTGGGCGAGGGAGTTTACAACTTCGGAGAGCTGGTGGGGTCTCCTCTGAAAACCGATGATATTGTTCGGCTCCACAGGCGGGACTCTGACTGTCTTGCTGTTTGCTCTACAGCTGATGCATCCGGTGCTGGAGTCCCTGAGGAACACAGACAAGCAGTGGCTCATTGACACGTTATACGCCTTCAACGCCGGGAACGTGGAGAAGTTCCAGGGCTTCAAGTCTGCATGGGGGCAGCAGGTGGAGTGCCAGCCAAACGCTCTTTATTTAAAAACTATGACTTTATGTTAACGATTCCACTGATTCCACACTGAAACCTCCAAATTTGCATCAAAGTATGTTTCCCTTCATTTAAAAATGTAAATCAAAGCACATTCTGGACATATAGACAAAAAAACTCCCTTAGTGACTCAATTCTTCATTTCCAAGAGAAATAAAGTGTAATTTATGTCTTTTAAACCTGAAAAGCAGCCAATAGATTTTTCTTTACTGATAGCTGATCAATTTTGCATCAATATATTTCTCTCTTACCGCCCACAGCCCGACCTTGCAGCTCATGAACCTAAACTGATGCAGAAGATCCAGCTGCTCTGTGTGATGGAGGTGGGTTGGTTTTTTTCACTTCCTGTTTGATCAGATCAGACTATGACTGTAAAGGTCTTTAAAGTGTGTCTATAAAGTATACAAATTAGCATCCTAACCCCTCAGGTCAGATGCAGTTCACTTGAATTTCAGGATGATGGCCATTTTTCAAGATGGCCGCCGTTTTTGAGCCTTTTAAACCAGTTTCTGCCATAAACTGTTACCCGTTTCTTGACTTTGCTTTTTTTTTTGATTAGCTTTGACTAATTGTTTATGTTTAGTGTTTGCATTTGCTAATTTTTTGTGTTTCGGGGTTAGCATTAGCTTCTGCTCATTTTTTTGTTCCCATTTAGGTTCTGGTGTGGGCATGTGAACGGTTTTGCTGGGATATTTCGTCATAATGGGTGTTTGTGTTTTTCCAGATGACGTTCACTCGTCCTGCGAATCACCGGCAGCTCACCTTCACAGAAATCGCTCAGAGCGCAAAGATCCCCGTCAACGAGGTTAGCTAGCTGGGTTCCTGCAGCTTAGCTACCACTGACCTGCTGGGCGGCTGACGTTTCTGTTGCTCCTGCAGGTGGAGCTGCTGGTGATGAAGGCGCTGTCTGTGGGCCTGATCAAAGGGAACATTGACGAGGTGGACCAGAAGGTCCAGATGACCTGGGTGCAGCCCAGAGTTCTGGACCTGCAGCAGGTTGGAGCTCGATTTCAGAACCTCAAACCTCCTCCTGATTTAAACATAAAATAACCCATAAACCGCCGGTTTCTGCTTCAGATTAAAGGCATGAAGGACCGTTTGGACTCGTGGTGCGGCGACGTTAAGGACATGACGGTTCTGGTGGAGCAGCAGGCTCACGACATCCTCACCTGAGCAGGTGTCTCCATCGCGTCGCAGAGGGGAGAATATCACCAACATTTCTTTGTCCTTTTTTTTACTGGATGTTCTTTCTTCTGTTACCCTCACTGTTTATCATTTATGTTGTAACATCATCCCCAGAAAAAGACCCAAACTGTAAAAAATACAAATAAAACATGTATAAAAATGATTCTTCCCTTTAATTTCTTAGTTTTGTACAACGGAGTATTAGGGCCAAAATAAATAAAGAATAAAGTCAGAATATTACAACTTATTGTCATAATATTCTGACTTAATTCTGTAATATGACTATTTTCAAAAAATATTTTATATTCATTACTCTATTTTTGTATTATTTTGACTATTCTCTTAACATTCTGACCTTATTTTCATATTACAACTTTATTCACATTACTGCAACTTTATTCTTCTAATGAGTTTATTCTTGTAATATTCTGAATTCTGGTAATTTTATGATTTTACTCCTGAAATATAACTTTATGCTCATATTATTACAACTTTATTCACATATTTCAACTTTTTCCATAAACTAATTCTCATAATATTCAGACTATTTTCCAAATATAACTGTATACCTATATTATTTTGACTTTATTCTCATAGTATTTTAATCTAAAAATACAACTATAATATAGTTCTATTAATTTTTAAACAAATAAATTTTAGTGTTTTGGTTTACAACTCAGCAGACTTACTCATTTTCAGCCTCGCCAACTGGCAAAACTAAAAATTTCTTTACTAAATTGTTTTTTACGTATGAAATTACACAGGGAGATTTATGAATTAAAATGTTTTATCCAAATTATCATATAAATATTTGTGACTTATTTATTGAACGGAATAACTTCGTTAAAAACAAAAACAGCTTGTTTTAGTTTAGTCTGCCGGTTGTTTTAAACGCAGAGGGGAACAGATGAAACACCTGAACAGGTGACGAAGCTGTAAGGTGATGAAAGGTTTCACCTTTAATCACAAACCTTCCTGACACATTTAGCGGCGGTAGCAGCAGATTTTTTTTTTATCATAAACTTGTCTCGGTTTTGCTGCAGCTGCTGCTAAAAGACAAAATTAAAATTCAGTGAGAAATCAAACTCCTCGTGATGTGAAGGAAGTGACGTCATTGCCGTTATTCATTTAGCCTTTTAAATAAAAAAGTAACGTTGTTTTAACCTCTCTCCTGTTTCTGGAGGTTTGTTTGTTTTAATTTTCTACACCTGAAGCTCATTAGCAGCTCAGCTGAGGCTGGACTCCCTCACTTTGCATCGTTATCTTTATTTTTCACTCTTCACGGCTCAACAAATCATCCAACTCATCCAAAAAACAGATTTTTTTCAATAAGGTGGCGAACAGAAAAAGAAAAAGGATCAATGAGTGAAACTACAACGGAGTATTAAATGATGAGAATAACATTGTAAAATTATGAGCACTCAAAAACTGAGGTAAAACGAGAAGAAGAGTATATTGTAAAGTTATACTTTGGTTTTATAAGTAAGAAAATAATCTTTTAACGCCAGGTTAATGATAATGTATTATTATCAAAATGATAATATTCTAATGCTGATGTCTTTGCTACAACTTTATTCGGGTGATTTTACGATTTTATTCTTATACTATTATGACTTTTTTATTACTTCGGCTTTATTGTGGTAATAAAAATTGTAATTTTATTCTCTAATTACAACTTTATTCTGATACTTTTACCACTTTATTCTCTAAATATTATGACTTTATCCGAGAGCCATCTTATGGAGAGCCATTTCAGCCAAAATTAAATAAATAAATGGCTCTCCATAGACTTTATTATGGTCATTTTCTTACTTTATTCTCATAAAGTTTCTTACTTTATTCTCACTGTTGCTGCACAGTGCTGCAGTTGGTAGAGCTGTTGCCTTGCAGCAAGAAAGTCCTGGGTTCAATTCCCAGCCCCAGTCATGTTCTCATGTTCTCCCTGTGCATGGTGGGTTCTCTCTGGGTACTCACATGACTGTCAGGTTAATTGGTTTCTCCAAATTGTCCCTAGGTGTGAGTGTGTGTGCATGGTTGTGTGTCTCTGTATTGCCCTGCGGCAGACTGGCTACCTGTCCAGGTGACGCCGCCTCTCGCCAGGAACATTAGCTGGAGAGGCACCAGCAGCCGTTCCGGGTATACAGAAAATGGATGGATGTTCTCATGTTACTTATATTTTTTCTGGTAATTTTATGACTAGTTTTGGTAGTTGTACGAGAATAATTGAGAATACACTATGAGTATCATACCATTATAACTGTAATTCTCATAACAGTACTTTATCCTCATATTATTACGACTTTATTCTGGTAATTTCATTATTTTATTCTCGTAATTTAATTGTTTTTGTAAACCTGGACCTAATTCTCGGTCGTGACTAAACTCCAGTTATCAGGAAAACAGATTGCTGAGTGACCAGACTTGCGGGCTGGGATGAAGAGGAGGAAGAGGAGGAGGAGTGAAATGAGGCTGGATAATTAGGAGAAGCAGCCTGTATCCCCAAAGGAAAAGAGCAGCGAGCTCCGTACATGCAGCTATTTGCACCATCCCTCTGTCTCTATCTCTTTAAGAGCCACCAGGAGGAGTGTGTGTGTCGGTGTGTGTGTTGGTGTGTGTGTGTTGGTGGGGGAGGGGTATCGGCTGGGGTGGAACAGTCCTGTAATGAGCAGATTTTACAGAGCCAGCGACAGAAAGGCCTTCAAACCAGCGGGAGCTAGCTGGGATTTTACAACAACATTCAGGATTTTTGGGAAACACGACGAAGAGGAGGAAGAGGAGGAGGAAGAGGAGGAGGAGAAAGAGCCGCCGCACCTGCATCCTCATCCTCACCATCCGAGAGATTAGGATGAGTCTGTTTGTGATGGATGAGAGTCTCTGAGGCCACTGTGTTGCTGTGTGTGCGTGTCGGTGAGTTTAATGGCGCTCCCGCATCCCGCATCCCGCATCCCGGCCCCGCATCCCGCTCGGTGCGGCAGGGAGGTGAAGATGCTCTAATATCGGAGTGAGGTGGCTCGGTTTGAACGCCTATAGGCCTCGCTTGTCTGGAGGAGCAGGAAGGTGGAGGAGGAAGAAGAGGAGGAGGAGGAAGAGGAGGAGGAAGAGGCATGCAGGGAGCCTTCATCTCTCCGCCGAGTCCTGGGTGTTTCCACACCTGATAGTCCGGTAGGCTCGGCTCGGTTCGGGACCAAAACTGGAACATTTCTAATATTTTTCAGCGGCTGCGGTTCGTTTTCAGGCTGAGCAACCTGTTCCCCTCCTCGCCGGTGGGGGCGCCGCACCAAGAATCACTGAGGGAAACGACCCGAAGAAGAAGCTGAGCGCAACTTCCTTCTACAGGAAATGTAAACAACAATGGAGTTTCGTCAGATTTTAGCGGTTAAAGGATTTCTCTTTTGCCTTTAGCCTATACCCAGGAGCCATTTCTCTGGCTAGCGCTAGGCTAACGCGTTTGTTTTGGTTGTATTTACCCAGAATGCTCCGCGCTATAGTTCATTTCAGGTCTCCGGTCTGCTTGGCATTCACATATGCATTCGATCAGCACCAGAGTTCACTTCAACCGAACTGAGATCTAGGTTTTTAGGCGATCTAGACCGAAGCAAGACCGAAGTTTTTACGGTGGACTAAAGTTCATTTAAACAGAAGTTTTTAGGCGGACTAGAATTCACATAACTGAACCTAGACCAAAGTTTGTAGGCGGACTAGTTTTTTTTTCTCTCCCCTGTTTTGGTCCACTTAGGCATTCACACCTCCACAAAGTGAACCTTCTACAGCTGGATTAAAGTGGACTAAACACCCTGAAACTGCTTTTACATCCTGAGCCTCAAGAAGGCCAGTTCTTGAGGCTCCTGCTGTCTGATCCACACCTCTTTGCAAATTCCCTCTGACTGAAGCAGTCGCTCCAGCTTTTCCTCACGTTCTACGTTTTTGCCTAAACCTGTTTCATGCATGTCCACTGGAGGCAGGTTTGACTTTGATGATGGGGGGTCGTACTGCGGGGGGTGGGAGCAGGGCAAGGCCCACGGCCGGGGGGTTTGCACGGGGCCCCAGGGTCAGGGCGAGTATGCCGGCGCCTGGAGCCACGGCTTTGAAGTGCTGGGCGTCTACACCTGGCCCAGCGGGAACAACTACCAGGGCACCTGGGCACAGGGCAAGCGGCACGGCGTCGGCGTGGAGAGCAAGGGCCGCTGGGAGTACAGGGGGGAGTGGACCCAGGGCTTCAAGGGTCGCTACGGACAGCTGGAGAGCACGGCCAGCGGGGCCCGCTACGAGGGGACGTGGAGCAACGGGCTGCAGGACGGCTACGGCACGGAGACATATTCAGACGGAGGTAAGGGTTGCACCTGTGGGACGATGTATGGGGTCACAGAGGATAGAAGAGGCTTCAGTTTCCAGGTTTGACCGATTCCGGTTTGTTGTTTTAGGGAAGCGAGAAAATATTAAAGAGGCAGTTTTATGTCAAGTTAACTTTTTTAGTTTTAATGTCATTCCCTCATTTCAAACATACCTGGAGCGTTGCCATGATTCTTTCATGCATGTTTGAGAAAGCCTTTAATCACCATGGCAACCATTAGCTGTGCAAAACGCCTGGGTGGACCTAGCCCTGCCTTCGAGACTTAACTCCTCCCCCACTCAGCTCCTTCAGACTAGCCAGCAGCAACTAGCAAACATCTGGTGGAGCTGCAGAGCTCATTACAGGAGCTACATCTCAGAGCAACACAGGTAAAAATGTTGTTAAAGGTTAATAGAGGAGCCATGTTGGGATGACTTCCTGAAGGAGTTTTTAAAGACCCAATTTCAAAGGTGTGAAAATACAAATTCAAATTTTGTTGTAAGTCACATTTGATGTATTCAGCATTTTTATAACAACTGAAGGTAACATAGATACTTGATTGTGCTATAAAGTGGCACAATATGCCTGGAAAATACAGAATACTGCCCCTTTAACAAATTTGCACCAATCAGGGATTTTAAAGTCATTTCTAGTTTTGACCGACTCTGGTTTGTTTTTTTTAAGGACTGAGACCCTTAAGGAGAAAATATTAACATATTTGCAATGGGCCAATAAAAACTTTACTTTTATGACCAGATCAATTTTTTTTTTTTTTACCAATTTAATTGTTTTTCCAAATTAAAAAACAAGTGAAGTTGAGATACACCCATCAGACTTATTCTGGCTGAAACTGGCTTTCCAGTTTTGACCCATTCCAAACTATTATTTTCATCACTTTGAAACATGAATATGAAAATATGAACATATTTTTATCAATCAAGTTTTCTGGACTGATATCTATCTTCCTTTTTTTGTACAATTAAAAAAAAGATTAAATAAAATTAAGGATTGTGACACAACAAAACCCCCTGAAGCATATGAATTCAGTGCATGTGGAAGTGACCTACATGTTATTTATGTAGCCTTCTTTGGAGATGTGCTACAGCAGCAGCAGCAGCAGCAGCAGAGTAAGCAAGTCGCTCCACTTTCAGAGTGTTGAAACATTTTTTTAACCAGACCAACGTTCTGCCGTAGAAATATACAGAAAACTCCTGAAATTCAGTCCAAACCTTCAGGAATGCGGGTCCTGGGCTTGTGGGACTCCGGGTTCTGGTTCTTGCAGGCCAAAAACCAAATGTGATGTGATATAATGTGATTTAATGTATTAACTACTCAATAATAAATTAAGCATAAACTATTGTAACTAAACAAATAATTTTGTAGGAATGGAATCGCAGAGCCAAAACTTCAAATGATTTTTGCACTCAGGCGTTTTGTACAGCTGAATGGTTGCCATGGAGATTAAAGGATTTCTGAGCATGTATGACAGAATTAAAGCAACGCTCCAGGTAAGTTTTGATGAGCGAATAATGTTAAAACATGATGCAAAGCTCAAAAAGTTGATTTTACATAATCCTGTCCCTTTAAATGAAAGGAATGCTCATTATTTTGAGCTCAATTGAAGAAAACAGAAAAACATTTTGCTTATTCTCAGAGATAAAAACAAAATCCAGGTCAGTCCTGCTGCTTTTAGCAATTAAAATCAGATTTGGGTGCAGCAAGTTGTACATTAGAGTATAAGTCAATAGATGTGGCACTAGTTGCCATGACAACAGAACAAAACCAGAAATTTTGGAAAAGATGGCCACTTTGTATTGCAGCTAACATCTTTGTAAGTAGGTTTTACTTTTAAAGTTTAGTTTTTTCTAGTTGATTTAATTCATTCTTGAATTGTGATTGATTGAGGCCACACACACTCAGTCCAAGGTCCATGAATGGCCCCTGCTCCCCACTTTGAGAACCGTTGTTCTAAATAATGAGTATAAAGTTGTAATATTTCCAGAATAAAGTTGTAATTTAATATAATGAAGTAGTAACTCCAACACTGTCATGGTGTGTGGTTGTTGGTGGTGGTGAGAGAGACGCCGGGAATCCCAGGTAGTCATGATAAGAGATAATTTAATGATGAACCAGGAGGGACAACAGAAAATCACAGGCAGCACAGGAACAGACACAGACGTGAGACATGACGAGACACGACGACGATCCGACAAAGAACACTGACAACAGGTGGGACTAAATACACTGGGAGGGTAATCACAGGAACGACACACAGCTGGGATCAATCAAGACAGACTCAGGGGAAAACAGGACTAGACAGACAGAAACTACACAGATCCTAACAAACACGAAATCTAAAAACTAAATAAGATGAGGAATGTTGAGCATTTTCCCTCATTTACATTAAATGCCTAAAAACTAAGCTCTCCTGATTTTGTTTTCTTTTAACATTCAGTAAAAATCAGATAAATATTTGATTCATGATGCTTAAATAGTATTACCTGTGTAATTTTCTGTTGGAATCAAAATGTTAACCTCAATTAAACAACATGCAGCACATTTTATGTTTTATTTTGAGAAGAAAATCAAAATGGAAACAGCCAAAATCAGAAACGGCAAGTGAGAAAAAATTACATTGGATATAAAAAGTGTGATCGGTGCATCTGTGCTTTAGTTATTCAGTTCGTTGTGTTTGTTTTTGTACTCGATAGTGTAAGAAAACTTCTCAAATTCACCTCTGACTTCTACTTTTTTCGAACGCAGCACAAAAATATGCAAAATTACTTCTTAAAATTGTTAAGTAAAATGAGAAAAAAATGTTGAAACAACTATAAAACCAGCCAAAAATGCAAAGTACGGTAATGAAGATACCAAGAAGGAAACAAAATGATGCGATAAGAGATTAAAAATACCGAGAAAAGCAAAAGAAAACGTCTCAGATTATCAGAAAACAATAAAAACAGGATAACATTAGAAACCTTCTGTTTCATCCCTCTGGTTTAAACGTTTCACAGCACATCATCGCTCCTGTCCCTCCTGTCCCTGCGCCCTGCGATGCGAGGTCGCCATGGTAACGAGGAGACAGCGGGTCAGCGTGTCACAGAGACGCCGCTGCTCCCTGATTGGCCCTCTCCTGCGTTTTGTTTCGTTTTTGTCTCCAGACGTCTGGGGGTTGTAATGTATGCCGGACGGGGCAGAGGCTGCGCCTCGTTGATCTGAATCAGATTGAGATTAAATTACGCTGGTTTTCACCCCAGCTGCAGGTTTAAAAACAAAACAACTTTTAAAGCAGCGGCACTTAAAAACAATTTTTATGTTTTCCCGCCTCATATGCCGGTAGACTGAGACAGCGTGTTGGAGCCACTGTAGATAGAAAATGAAAGCGCAGTAAGTCTCCCCCCAAAATGTTTCTAGAAAAAGAGGAAATTAGAGTTTGAAAAGTTAAAAATGTCTGCCAAAAAACTTAATCTGAGAAACTTTCAACAAAAAACAAGGAAATTTCTGAGTTCCAGAAGTTGAAAATTTGAAACTTTTGAAACTCAGAAAATTTCCAAAAACCAAAAGTTTTCTATTTTGAAAAAAATTCCATCTTTTTTAGAAACTTTTTGAGATAAATGAAAAAATTTATCTCCAATTCTCTTTTGTCTTTGATAAAAAACCAGGAGCCATTTTTTCCGCTAATGCTCGGCCTTTGGTTGCCATTTCATTCATACATTTATAAATGTCAAATTTCCAAACTAAATACTTAATTAGCAAGCAAAATATTTAGCTTACAGACTCTATGTTTAACTTGTTACTTAAATGTTTAGTTAGGAAGCTAAACATATATTTTTCCCAAATAAAAAATATTTTTACGCACTTTAAAAGAAAACGGGTCCAATATGTACCAGATCTGTTGAATCAAGTTTGGTCCAAATTCATTCAAATCAATTCAATTTCAGTCTCATTATTAGGAAAAAAAGTAAATTATGAAAATGTTGAAATTTGCATGAAGTTTTGGGTTCAGAAGGGACAAAAGGAATTATTACAGGGAGTTGACTTCAAAATAAACTAAAAGTAACTTACGGAGCAAGAAACATTAAAAAATAAAGGGTTTTTTTGCAGACTAAATATTCAAACAGTTAATCAAAAGAATTGCCCAATCAGCTCTGATCTCAGTCTTTTTGGCTGATTGATTAGTTTTAGCTCTGAGTCAGGTGGAGCTGAAGTCACAGTTCCTGAAGGAAGAGGCGTCAGACGCTGAAATGGGTCTGAAAAAACGAACTTCATCAGCAGGAGCCGAAGTGAGTTTAACTGACAGGCTGAGAGTTTAACGCCACTTCCTGTCCAGAAACATCAAAACCTGGAGAATGAAAACAGAAACTCATCTGGAGACGGTCAGAGGCTCATGAGGGGGAGGAAGGCGGAAACGTTTTCAACTTCTGTCATTTCAGCTTTTATGACAGTTTAACGGCATATTAGGGCCATTGTAGATAGAACAAAGGTACATTTCTGACAAAAAAATATGAAACTTTGACAATCTCAGAAATATTGTGAGATTAAAAGCCAAAGATTTTTTTTCTTTCTACTTTCTTTTTGTTGGTTTCAAAGCCGCGGTCCAGCTCTGGCTTGCGGAGCTCTTGCCTACCAAGATGGCGGCTCAGTCTTGTGGGAACTATGTATTTCATGGTTAATGGAGACATGGTGACGTGTTGTGGCCTGAAACTGACTTGTTTTTGTCTCAGGAACCTATCAGGGTCAGTGGCTGGCCGGGATGCGCCATGGTTACGGCGTCCGGCAGAGCGTCCCGTACGGCATGGCCGCCGTCATCCTCTTCCCTCTGAGGACTTCCATAAACTCCCTCCGCTCCGAGCACAGCCACGGGCCGCCGGCCGCCCTGGAGGACGGCGTCGCCACCACGCCCACGGACGGCGTGGTGGCCGGGCTGGCGGGGAGCCCGGTGGGCCGAGGCGGGTTCGCCCTGACGACGCCGAGCGAAGCGGACCGGCAGCGCAAGAGGAAGGGTCGGTTCCGGCAATCCATCCTGAGTGGGCTGAAGCTGCGGCGGTCCGAGTCCAAAAGCTCCCTGGCCAGCCAGCTGAGCAAGCAGAGCTCGTTCTGCAGCGAGGCCGGCATGAGCACGGTCAGCTCGGCCGCCTCCGACATCCACTCCAACGCCAGCGAGAGCGAGCAGGGCGCCCCGGTGGACGCCACAGTCACCGAGATGTACGCCGGGGAGTGGCGCAGCGACCAGCGGGCCGGCTGGGGCGTGAGCCGGCGCTCCGACGGGCTGCACTACGCCGGGGAGTGGGGCGCCAACAAGCGGCACGGCTACGGCTGCACCACGTTCCCCGACGGCACCAAGGAGGAAGGGAAATACAAGCAGAACATCCTGGTGAGCGGGAAGCGGAAGAACCTGATCCCACTGAGGGCCAGCAAGATCCGGGAGAAGGTGGATCGGGCGGTGGAGGCTGCCGAGAAGGCCGCTGAGATCGCCAAGCAGAAGGCCGAGATCGCCATGTCACGGTAAGACGGAACCAAATACCCCAGAACTACAGAAACATTCATGTCTGGATCAAGCAGAACCAGATGCCTCAGGTCTTCTGGTTGTGGTTCTGAATGCAGAGCAGAACCAGAACATGGAGAAGCAGCATTCAGCTTCTATACACCACAAATCTGGAACAAACTTCCAGAAAACTGCAGAACAGCCGAAACACTGGGCTCCTTTAAATCCAGAGTAAAAACCCGGCTGGTTGGAGTTGCTTTTGAAAGTCATAGATGACAAAATTACATTTTACTGCTTTACTGTGAGCCGATTTTATTACTCTGTATTTCTGTGTTTTTATTGTGTAAAGCACTTTGAACTGTCTAGTTATAAATGTTTAGCTTGCAAACTAAATATTTAGTTCATGTGCAATTTTGTTTAATCACTGCTCTGGATATGTTCTTTCTGAAAATTGCTTTTTAATTGATTCTATGTACTTAATTTAATGATTAATCAATTACTAATTTAGTTGACGATTTTAATAATCAATTCATAGCGATTAATTGTTTCAGCCCTCTTCCTGTCTCCTTGTCTTAATCTGCTAGTACGATTACCGGATAAAATACGGGTTATAAGAACGTCTGGTCCAAAAAGCTGATGATAAATAACAGAGCGTGACACTGGAGGAGCTGACCTCTATTCCTGTGTCTGCCTGTCTGGGTCAGGATGAGCCACGCGCGCGGGAAGGCGGAGGCCGCTGAAAGGGTGGCGCAGAAGGCCATGGAGGAGTGCCGACTGGCCCGGATAACTGCCAAAGAGCTCTCGCCCTCCTTTCATATCTACGGCAACGGTGAGAAACCAAACGCAGCTGAACCAGCGCCGGTTCCTTCATGCATCAGAACTACTGCAGTAACCTGCACCCTAAACATCTTAAGGAATTAAATTCAAGCAAAATGCATTTTTGGTTATAACTCTGACTGCTGGATGCCAGAAAACTGCTTTAAATAGGATCCACAGTGTGTGAATAGTAAAGGATGATCAGGAGTCAGTGGAGTTCAAACATTTCGCTGAGTCGCCGTTTGAGGCAAATTTGAGTCAAGAAGGTAAAGAAGTGAAATCAGTAATTTGTTGAATCATGTTTTATTTTAATTTCAAATTTATAGTTACATGCTCAACTTGTTCATTTAGTTGGAGCTACTAAATATTTAGTTTGGGGCTAAATATTCAGCTTGCTAAATAAATATATAGATTCAAACTAATAATTTGGACTAAATTATTTGCTCTAAATTAATACTTAGCAGCTCCAAACTAGATATTTAGTTAGCAAACTAAATATTAAGCTTTCTAAGTAAATATTTAGCTCAAAACAAAATATTTATTATCTCCAAACTAAATATTTATTTAGCAAGCAAATTATTTAGGCACAAACTAAATATTTAGCTTAAAAGCTAAATAGTTAGCTTGCTAACTAAATCTTTAGCATGGAGCTACAAATTTAGCTTGCTAAATAAATATATAGTTCCAAACTAAATGTTTAGTAAGCAAGCTAAATATTTAGTTTGAAGTGTTTCCCCACAAACTACCGACAGCATTTAAGCTAATTGCAGGTTAAATGCTTCTGTTAGCATTTCAGCTAACTGTAGCATTGATAGCATTGATGCTAATTTTAGCTTTCACAATATTGCTTGTATAATGAATGGAGTAAGTCCATGTTAGTCAACATGTTGGTGTTACCCCACATGCTACTGGCTATGTTTTAGCTAACCTTAGCATTGATCTGAATTTCTACTGACACTTTGGCTGGCCTCTTTTAAATTTCTTGAGAAATTTAGCAGTTTGCTGTTACGATCCTATAAATATCAGTAGCATAAGGTTCATTTTGTTGCAGCTCATCGCCTCTTTGCTTCCCTGCATGCCAGTAGCACTCAAACACCTTCTCTCTGTGGGTTTCGCTGTGGATCTTCGCCAAATTAATTCACCGGTCCCACTCTCCTGCTCTCCTAGGGCTCGAATGTCAGACACTCAAACACCAGGACGCCAAGGACAAAGACCACGAGGTCATCTCCACGGGAACAGACAGTCCAGAGCTGTGCACTCCGGACACCACGCCGCCTGTAACAACACCTGATCTCAGCCCCGTGCTGAGCGTCCCCACCTCGCCCCCTCGCAGCCCGCAGAAGCACGTCCACCGGCCCAGAAACGCCTGCTTCATGCGGCAGAGTGCAGTGGACGATCAGGGCGGGGCTGAAATTCAGGTGTTGGTAGAGGGGCGTGGGGTGGACCTGCCGAGGCCCGGCGCCAACAGTTGGACCGACGACGCGTACGCGGAGCGGGGAGGCAGCAGCCGCTCAACCACGCCGTCTCTCCTGGAGGAGCAGGAGACCCAGATCAACGGCCACGAGCAAGCCCCTCTGCCCAATCACAAACCCCGGGAGAAACCCTCATCCAATCACAAGTCGCGGGACTACCGGACGTGGGAGCACTCCCTGCCCAACCAGAAGCCGTCCAAGCATGCCAGCTCCAATCACAAGTCGAGGGAGTACTCGTCGTCCAATCACAAGACATGGGATCATTCCTCCACCAATCACAAGGCCTGTGAGCACGCCTCTTCCAACTACAAGCCGCAGGTCCACATCTTATCCAATCACAAGGCCTTCGAACACAACATATCCAATCACAAGACTTCTGAGCATGCTTCTTCCAATCACAAGCCCCAGGACTATATGTCCTCCAATCACCACGCAAAGGACCACGTTTCTTCCAGCGCCAACGCCCGAGAGCATGTCTACTCCAACCACCATCCGAAGCAGCACAACCCCTCCAACCACAAGCTGACGGAGCACGCCGTCATCGACCAGCGGCTGGACGGCCTCGGCGGGGGGTGGGCGGCCGAAAGCACGCTGCGCTGGAGCCCCACCCACTCCCGCCTCACAGAGCAGGACGAGGAGCGGATGAACGACTACACCGTCGACATGAGGCTGCACTGTCCGGAGTCGCCGGCGCCCAAGAACAACCGGCTGCGGTCGCGGGGCCTTCGGCCGGTCCGGGAGGGTTCAACGGACTCTGTGCAGATGCTGGACAACCTGAATGTGGCGCCGGAGCTGGAGGAGTGGCCGCTGAACAGGGACCTCACCCTCTCCCCGCCCCTAAAGTCTCAGCCCATCACTCTGGAGCAGGAAGGAGAGCATCTGGCTCTCAAATCAAACTCAGTGAGTCCACTTCCCTCAGGTTAACGCCAGACCTGCTGGGTTTTATTGAGAGCCACCGCCTGTCAGCTGTTAGATTAGTTCAGCAGCCATTTTCTTAAGAACTACACTTTTCTATTGCATCAAGATGGCCGACCTTCTTTCCATCATGGGCTAAATTATCCACTTGTTGAATTAATTTTTTACTAGCTGCATTATCCAGCTGCATTTTAAGGCCATTGAAGATAGAAAAAATATATATATTTCTGCCAAAAATCTGAAGTTTTCGATTTCACAACCTTCAAAATTTCAATTTTTTTTCTTAAAAATTTCTAAGATTAATCTCAATATTTGAGTTATTTCTCACAAATTTTCAACTTTTTGAACTCAGAAACTGCCTTGTTTTCTTTTTTTAGAAAATATTTGATTTTTCCTCAAAATAAAAAACCAAACATGCAGCGTGGATTATAGATAATCTACAATTTCAATCCTCGAGAGCCACCGCCCTGCAACTTTTAGGTTAATCAATTAAGCAGCCATTTTCTTTAGAACCTTATTTCTGTTTCTAGAAACTGTAACAACAATATTTATTCTGTTAAATCCCAGTAACAAGGTGAACTAATTGTTTCTTCTTCTCTTGTTTTGTCTTTTAGGGCTCCAGCTCTATTCTGGTGGTTTTGGTCATTTTACTCAATATTGGAGTAGCCATTCTTTTCATCCACTTCTTTATTTAAACATTATGCAGTTATAATCTAAGATTTATTGATGACTACGGTATATTATATTACTAACTGAGACGGACCGGACGCAGCAGAGCCTTTCTATCGTTGGTCTCTCCCCGTTTCGGTTTTCTCCTCCCTGTTTTTTCCAGACGCTTGTTTTGAGCTTGCAAACACGAGGAGGAAGACGCTTTTTGAGTCAACAGAGCAGCTTTAATAACCGGGACCTGCATGGGTGTCCATCGCCGACGGACTCAAGGTGGCGCCGGTCTACACAGAATATAGCAACCCTTGTTTCCTGGTTACCATGACGATCGTGCTAGCCAAGAGCATGGCTCACTCTCCATCCTTTAACCCCTTCCTCCCCTCTCCAGTCTATCGGCACTATGCGCTACGTACAAAACTATGCTGCAAGAGTAGATCCATTTTAAAGGGCTCTGTCATCATCTTTTTGTTTTCAGCCGTTGCATGAGGCTGTTTCTATCCCTTTAAATCGACTCGGTTCCACCCTCCCCTCATTTCATCTGTCATTCGCGTTTTGATTCCCCGAATCGGACGCAAGCACACGCCTGAATTTACAATAAAGGATAAAAGTGGGTGGGATTTATACTTCCAAACACACACACCGACACACACACACACACACACTGACGCACACACACATGCATCAGCACGCAGAGAATAAAGTAACCGAGGAGGTTTCAGCCCCTTTGTACAGCCTGGAGACTGTTATGTTATAACCACTAATTCTAATATATATGTCGATGTGTCATTATTATCCGACTTTGTTACTTTTTGCAGTTTGCAAGACAGAGAGAATGCTGAGTGCCTCGTATTTATTCATTCCCCCTCTGAGATGTTAATTTCTAACCGGACCGTGATTTAAAACAAACAAAAAAACAAAACAAAACAAAAAAAACACTAAATGTGGGCGGGGCTTAGAGGAGAGCTCCGCCTCCCATCTTTATCCTAAAATGGCATGCACTGTTTTGTCTCTCTCTCCTCGCCACTCCCCTCCTCTTTTTGGACCAGTCACGCCGTGTCATTTTCAGACACACTCTGGTCCGGATGAGATTTATATGTATTCATTTTAATTATATATTTATTTATTTATTTACTTCCTTCCAGCATGTTTGTTTAGCCTGCTCAATCTGGTGTCGGTCTGTGAGCTGCTGCCCTCTCGGCGGGGCAGGGCTGGGCGCGGAGGGCGGTGTAAAATAAACGCTAGCTTTTACCTCTCAGCGGGAACCGAGACGTCCCCAAGTTTCTGAATGATATGAAGAACAAACTCTGCTACTGTATGTTTTATACTTCGCACCCGGTGGCATCATCATGTTGTGACATCATTGCATGCCCGAGCATGCTCTTTCTTACTCTTTGGTTTATGAGGTTGTTTCAAAGTCAACGTGGAGAAAATAATATAATGTTTGAAATTAACAGGCTTGGTGTGGTTATTGTTTCAGTCTGATATACTTCAGCTTTCAAAAAGTCCCAGACGAGCCCCCAATTCTGCTATTTACTATACCAATGAAAGCTAATGCTAAAGTGCTATGCTATGCTAAGCTTGTGCGCACAGCTCGCTAAAAAGTTACTTGTACTTATCCTAAAGCATCAGCTCTGCTAACACGAAAGCACTATACCAGCACAGTATTTAGTGAAAGCTAATGCTAAAGCACTAACTTCATATAAAATAATATCTGCCCTTGAAAGACAATTTTGACATCATTTACATGTTCTTGTCCCGGACGAGCCCCCGATTCTTCTGCTCTACACAGAAGAGAGCAGAAGAGAGTGTGTGAAGCTCACACACCCAGTGAAGCTCAGACAGGGGAAAAATATTAATCATAGCTTTTCAAAAACAAACAGCTAACACAAAATCAATCCAACTTTAGCTAATCTGAAGTGCTGGCATGATTTCCCCCGTTTTACTGATCTTTTCAGTTTTTGTCAGTGAAATGATCACTAGCAAAAGCTAACTAAAAGCTAAAAGTTAATTGTGCTAATCTTAAAGCATCAGCTCTGCTAATTCTGAAGCACTGTGGTAACACAGTATATAACGGAAGCTGAGGCTAACGCAGAATACCCTTTTTAACTTGACGAGTAAAGGCTTCACAAATCCCAAACTGAAATAAAAGCTTAACATTTTTAAACACACTCCAAAAAAGTCTGAGCTGTTTCTACTTGAAAATCTAAAAGTAAAGTGAAATCCTCAAAGAAATGGGACAGAAACCCAAACTAAATAGAAATTTTACAACTTTATTAGGTATTTTTGACTTTTTTGCACCATTTCTATTTCTTTTGCTACAAGATTATTTCAAAACCAACAGCAGCAAACCTTAATAATTGAGAGAGGAAAACATGTTGTTATATCATTCATATACACTGCTCAGAAAAATAAAGGGAACACTCAAATAACACATCCTAGATCTGAATGAATGAAATATTCTCATTGAATACTTTGTTCTGTACAAAGTTGAATGTGCTGACAACAAAATCACACAAAAATCATCAATGGAAATCAAATTTATTAACCAATGGAGGCCTGGATTTGGAGCCACACACAAAATGAAAGTGAAATGTTCCCTTTATTTTTTTGAGCAGTATATATATCTTAGTAATAAAAGATCCTTCAGGAACCTGTCTGTCATGATCAATTATTAGCTACCAAACAAATCACATCATAATAACAAATAATCCATTTTATTTTAAGGGATGTTACAAAGTTGTACAAAACAAAATGGGAGTTAAAATAAAACATACAGGAAAAATAATACAGTAAATCATAAATAAAAACTAACTACTTACACCTGAGTTTTCAGGAGTTTTAAGGATGATTTAAAGGAACAGAAAGCAGTGTTGAACCCATAGGACCACTAGTGTGCAAGATTGATTTATCTGAGCATATTTACACTGTAAAAAGTAACTGAAGGTTCAGTTACCAGAAGTTTTAGAACATAATTTACTCCACATGGAGAACAAAAATATGGATGTAAATCATCTAATTTACTAGGTTTTTCCATGTTTAGAAAAGGCAGGATAGGTTATAAGTGGTGCCATGCCACACTTTTCAGATCTTCATTCATAATAAGGTTTGCAAATAATGTTCCATTTTTCTTCCACTTCTCCATTATGCACCACCTTGTTTTGGTCTTAAGTATAAAAGTCCAGTGAGGTACATCAAAGTTTGTGGTTTTAACTTGACAAAATGTGACAAAGTTCACAAGGTATAAATATTTTTTAAAGTCAGCAGAGTGTTAGGACAGACAGATAAGGAAAATGTTGTAAATAATACAATAATAAAAACTAATAATGCCAAAATAAATTCATAATTTCACCCAAAGTCGTGAAGATATGACAAATTATAATTTACCAGAATAAAGTTGTAATTTTAGCAGAATAAAGTCATAACACAAGACTAAAGTCGTTATAGTACAAGAATAAAGTTGTAATAATTCAAAGATCAGATTAATGCCAGAATACAATCATGAAAATATGAGAATTAAATTGGAATTTTAGAGTAAAGTCGGAATAATAGTAGAATAAAGTCATAATTTTGCCATAATAAATTTGTTATAAATACAAGTATAGAGCTATAATAGTACAGGGGGGAAATTATATTAGCAGAATAAACTCGTAATAATACAATAAAGTCATAATAACATGATAAAATCTTTATAATACCAAAATAATTTCGTAACATTACCAGAATAAAGTTGTAGTGATACAGGAAAATTAAGTATTAACTTAATGAGAACTTCTCCACGAAAAATAACTCAAAACTTAAAATGAGTCATTTTAATCATCTTGAGAAGTCATACAATGTTATTAGTTTACAAATAGGGAAATAGTAGCAGGACTTTAGAACAACTCAGTAGTTTTTAACTAGGTTGCGGTTACATCGGGTGATACAGCGACGCCTGGTGTTCAAAAGCTGGAACTACCCTTCGTAATATTTTAACCAGCTCCAGATAGCCTTTGTGTTAGTTCGAAAGCAATTTTACGGAAGCTGAAAGGCGATTATTGCCGCCGGAGCTTCTTTTTAGCCACTTCCAGATTCTCCTCCGTCATGAATGGGCTGTAGCTGCTGCAGCACAGTGGCAGCGGGTCGCTGCGTGGCGGTTTCCGGTGTCCGTCCGTCTGCTGGAGGATGGCGTCCGGCTTCGACCGCATCCCCTCCGCCGCCGCCGGTCTGAGAACCGAAAACACCCACGGTTACCGAGCGCAAACCAGAGACTGCGACAAGGAACGTCGATAAGCAACTACGGTGAGTTCTGGCGGATCGTTCTGGCTCTGGTTGCGGGTTTGTTCGTTTTAGCGGATGCGAGGAGGCTCGGCTGCAGGAGGCGTATTTTTCCCCCTGCAGCTCCGGGGAAGGCCTGCTCTGATATGGGCTCCATCCGCCGCTTAGCCTCGCTTCAAACCAGCCGTTTTCCCATCTTCTACCGTGTCGCTGACAAGCTGCAGCGCTCCAGACGCCCGTCACAGTTAGAAATCAGCTTGTTTTTGTACTTCATCACTTTGAAACACCGGATGTTATTCTCCTTTTATTTTTCAAATGAGAGGAAGCTCCAGCCGTTAGCAGCTAGCATGCTAACATCGAGCTACATCCTGCAACAGAAACGTTTTTATGGCTCACTCTGAACCCTGAAAGAAATGTCATCTTCAAACAAGGCGCTTTGTTATTAACATATTTAAAAAAAAAAAAAAAAACGAATTCAAAAACGTGTCAAAATATAAAATCTTTATATGTCCGATTAGCGCTCCAGGAAATAGACCGAGCCCATTGATTCTGTTTTCTTTCTGAAGCGAAAGCTACTTTGACGAAGTGACATCTTAAGGGCTTTCTTTGCGCTTAAAAGCAAACAGTCGTGTGCTACAAACAGAAATAACACTTAACACAGTAGTTTACGAGTATTTTATTTATTTTTTACATCACTTTGAATTTGTTATCACTTTGTTAGACATTGTTTCAGCTTAAATACTTACATTATTTCAGTGTTATTTTGTTTATTTGTTGTTTATTTATTTTTCTCTTTACTCTGCGTCCCCCTCCAGGGTTTCCCCAGACACTGAGCGATTCATTACAGACTTTTCTGCAGCTGCATCCATCCTTGTGTCAAATTTGGGATATAATCCTCCCTGCATTCAGGATGACGGAGGCATGGCAGCAGCAGCAGCAGCATGCAGTGGCTCCACCCTCTGTTGTGCACACTCTCCCTCAGGCAGGCGACAACTCTCTGAGCTGCACCGTGTACGGCGTCGTCCTGCAGCCGGACGCCTCCCTGCAGCAGCCGCAGCATCCGCAGCAGCACGTCGTCCAAGCACAGCAGGCCTCCTTGCAGGTAGGGGCCGACAGAGGGCATAAATGCGGAGCCTGCGGCCATGACATTTCCCACCTGGCCAACCCACACGAGCATCAGTGCATGGTGACGCAGGACCGCTCGTTCCAGTGCACGCAGTGCATGAAGATCTTCAGTCAGGCGACCGACTTGTTGGAGCATCAGTGCGTTCAGGTGGAGCAGAAGCCGTTCGTGTGCGGCGTCTGCAAAATGGGCTTCTCGTTGCTCACCTCGCTGGCGCAGCATCACAACTCTCACGGTAACAACCCGATGAAGTGCTCCATCTGCGAGAAGACATATCGCCCAGGCTCCGGGAACGTCACGCCCACCTCGTCTGCCGCCAACCCGCAGCAGCCCTCCAGCGGCGAGACTTCCGGCGGTGGTGCAGTCATCAGCGCCGCCTCACCGCCAACATTCGAGGCATCCGCGCCCGACCGGCCATACAAGTGCTCTGTATGCCACAAGTCCTTCCGCCACCTGTCAGAGCTGACGCGCCACGAGCGGATCCACACGGGAGAGAAGCCGTACAAATGCGACACATGTGACAAAAGCTTCAGCCAGTCATCACATCTGGCGCACCACCAGCGCACGCACAGCTCCGAAAGGCCATACAAGTGCGCCGTGTGTGAGAAGAGCTTCAAGCACCGCTCCCACCTGGTGCGGCACATGTACGCGCACTCGGGCGAGCACCTGTTCAAGTGCAATTTATGTGAGATGCACTTCAAAGAGTCGTCGGAGCTCCTGCACCACCAGTGCCAGCCGGAGAGCGAGAGGCCATTCCGCTGCGGCTCGTGCGGGAAGAGCTTCAAGCGGCCATCTGACCTGCGGCAGCACGAGCGCACGCACTCCGAGGAGCGGCCTTTCCAATGCGACGAGTGCCAGATGAGCTTCAAGCAGCAGTACGCCCTGGTGCGCCACCGCCGCACACACAAGAACCCTGCCGACCGGCCGTTCAAGTGCAACCTCTGTGACAAGGGCTTCTTGCAGCCGTCGCATCTGCTCTACCACCAGCAGGTCCACGGCATGGAGTCGCTCTTCAAATGCGCGTCCTGCCAGAAGTCCTTCAGCCAGTCGGGGGAGCTGTTGCGGCACAAATGTGGTGGTGAGGTGGAAAAGCCGTACAAATGCGATGTGTGCGGCAAAGGTTACAAAAAGAATTCCACGCTGCAACGGCACCAAAGCACCCACTGCACGGAGAAACCGCTCAAGTGCTCTCTGTGCGACAAGCGCTTTGTGTCGTCGTCCGAGTTCGTCCAGCACCGCTGCGACCCGACGCGGGAGAAGCCTCTGAAGTGTCCCGACTGCGAGAAGCGCTTCAGGTACTCCTCAGAGCTGCAGCGGCACCGCCGCGTCCACACGGGCGAGAAGCCGTTCAAATGTGCCAACTGTGACAAGAGCTTCAAGCAGCGGGAGCACCTGGCCAAGCACCAGAGCGTGCATTCACGGGAGACGCAGTTTAAATGCGTGTGGTGTGGCGAGCGCTTCGTTGACCTCACAGCGCTGCAGGAGCACACGGTGCAGCACACAGCGGAGAACGAGAACTTCCCTGAAGCGCCGTGCATCCAGTGAACTCCAAAAACACTCCCAGAGACTCCTGCTTTTGGTGAATCCAAGACACAGAGGGGGGAATCGTACGACGGCGCATCAGGGCCATCGTAGATGGGGAAAAAAAGGAGTAGATTTCTGCCCAAAAAAACTCAGAAATTTTAAGATTAATATCAGAAATGTTCTAGAAAAAATTTGGAAAATTTCTGAGCTCCAAAACTTGAAAGTTTGAGAGAAAAAACTCAGAAATTTGAGAAAAACACTGAAATGCCTAAGCTCAAAGTTGAAAATTTGCAAGCAGAAACTCAAGAAAAAAACTCAAAAAAAAATTCTGAAAATTTTTTTTCAGAAATTTTCAAGAAAAATTATTTCACTTTTTTCACTCCAAAAGTTGAGAATTTGCTAGAAAAAAACTGATTTAGATCAGTGTCAGGATCTTTCTACAACAAACTTAGAAATTTCTGAGCTCAGTCAAAAATTAGCAAAAAAAAAAAAAACCTTAAAAATGTAAAGATTGACCTCAGAAACTTTGAAATTTCTGACCTCATAATTGAAAATTAGCAAGCAAAAACTCAGAAATTTTCAAGAAAAAACTCACAAACTTTTGAGGTAATCTCATATTTTTTGTAGAACAAACTTGTACATTTCTAAGCTCAAAGACAAAAATTTGCAAAAAAAAAAAAACAAACAAAAAAACCCAGCTCAGTATTTTTACATTCAAAGCTCTGAAATTACTAGGTGTTTTTTTTTTTTTTTTTTTTTTTTTTTTTTTTTTTTACAAAATTTTTAAGCTTGTTTTTAGTAAATAATTTTTTGAGCTTAGTGAATTCCCGTATTTTTTCAGAAAAAATTCCAGCTGTTTATCTCAAAATTTCTTACGTTTTTTTGGCGTAAATTTGCTCGTCCTCTTAGGTTTTCCATCTCCATCGTCCCTCAGACGCCACCGTAGGGAATCGGGATCCCTCTTCTTTTTGAAGAACGAAAACTAGACCAGAAAGAAATGGATGTGAGACTTGGAGCGCGGGACGGTTTTCTCTGTAAAGTCTGGGACCGTAGTCTGTGGTTGCATGTGGTTGTTTGTTCCGTAACCGTTGTTGAGAAAGATGGCTCTCGTTTCCAGACAGTCATCCCATTTGTGTCGGCTCCTCTTCAGTCCATGTGCCTTTTTATTATTCTTAATATTGTTGTTATTATTAGTTTTTATTCTTTCTGCTCACTCGTTTTTGTTTTTATTTAACGTCCGGTGAAGCTGAAAGCGAACACGTCAGTAGAACGTAGATCCATCTGTTTGTGCATGGATTCTTCTCCCACATTAGTATTACTGTTGTATGATAGCTTTGCTTTATTTAGGACATCCTCAGAGGAAGAAGAAGAAAAGACTTCACATGGATTTGTGAAACTGTACAGCCCGTCTCCTATAAAATCTGTGTTGTTGCATCTTTGTATTAAAACAAGCGACATGTAGGTAACTAACCCGCGTACCTATCGTGTCGTAGAAACACTTGACTTGTGCAATAGGACATGCACAGTGTAATATTTATGACTACTGATTCATGGAATAGTCTACTCTGTTATATTATAGATTGTGTGTATACGCGATGTAAACTCTGACAACTGTATAGTGCTTATGTTACCTGCTTTTTTATTCACTCTGAATGAGCTTCATTTCCACCGGAAATTTCACAAGGTTTAACCCCACGAAGCATTATGTTCCTCACTTGCCACAGATGTAGTTGCATTAGTTTTAGATATAACAAAAGTTATTATTATTATTGTTATCATTATTATTATTATTATTATTATTATTATTATTGAGTATTGTTATTTGTTTTTAAGAATTGGCCTTGTATTGTTTCCACTGAATCCTAGCCTCCTCCTGGTCCAACAGGACTTAAAAATCAGAGTAAAACTTGCCACTTATGTGTTGTTTATTTTTTTTTACCAAGGATAAAGGTAAGAAAAAAAGAGAAAAATATGTGTGTACTTTAGTTTACTGTGTGGATTTATATTCTGTACAATCTTTGCAGTATATTTAAAGGAAAGATTTTGGAGTCGTGGACTTAGGGGGGGAGGGGGGGTTTACAGGGTGGGACTGAGTGCCATGGTTTGAATCCTGGTGAGTCCGCTTCAGAAGCTCCTGTTGGAGTTCATCGAAGCGTAAGGATATCATTATAAACCCTGTTCATACTGTATATTAAAATAAACCACCCTTATAATAAGCTGCTCCGCCTCTGCTAAATTCTGTAAAACATTTATCCACCTTTTTGTCAACTAGAAACTTCAATTTTATTTTATTTTTTAGTTTTTTATTTACTTGGCTCTTTTGCATCAAGAACATGGATAAATGGTATTTTTGCTATATATATATATATATATATATATATATATATATATAAAATTCCCTTCTCACTCTCCGCGGGTGGTCTCTCTCTCTCTCTCATCCTCTGAGCTCGGCTCCTCTACCAGAGGCCTGGGAGCTTCAGGTTCTCCTCCAGTATCTTGGCTGTGCCTACAACTGCACATTTCTGGACTGAGATGTCTGATGTTGTTCCTGGGATCTGTTTGAGCCACTGCTCATATATATATAAACTTTAGGATATTTATTAATATCTTTATAAAAATATTAATAAAAATAATTGGCAATTCATTCTGACTCAACTATTGACAACATGCTATTATTTTGACAAGGCGTTTTTAAAACTTATTTTTTCAACAGTTTCGTCACCTAAACCAAACATCCTTGCAATTAAATATTTTAATCAATGGACAATCCTTAAAAAAATAAAGCCCTTTTCTCTGTAACGGCACAGAGTAGTACATTTGTCAACCTCAATGCTCATAAGACTGAGACTAATATAAATAAATAAAAAATTCATTTGCGATAAATCACGAGTTATAGCTATAGACAACATGCAATTAGATATTTTAATCAATGCCCTTTAACCAAACGCCCTTTTAGGTGTGTGGGTTTTCTAATTTAAATAACGGTAAATATAATTTGTTTGTTTTTTTTGTTTTGTTTTTGTTGCATTTTTCTTTTTTCACTGTTTGTGTGGTGATGGATCCTCTGCGCGGTTAGCTTCCGGGTAATGTTGACTGCAGAGGTGAAGAGCAGCCGCTGATAGAGACACCTCCACCACCGCCCATCTGTCGGGATCAATAAACCAATCACCTCATCGATCATCTGGGGACCCGGGTTCGGCTCGCATCGCCGCGAGGACATCGCAGCTCAAGTCGCGAGCGAACGACCGTTGATGACGGAGGAGCCTCTCTGCGCTCGAGGTTAGCAGCTAGCTTTAGCTTCTCTCTCAGCTTACAGAAACTACGCCACTAATCGATCAAATTGATTGATAGTGTTATCGGGTTGAGCTGCGTGGGGACACGCAGGTGAGTCTAGCTGGTGTATTTCTCTGTGACGCCACAGTTCTGGGTGAAACTTTACGCTTTTTGAACGGTTTTATCCAGCTAGGCTACCGTTACTAGTTAGCCTCGTTAGCGCTGGTTGAGTTCATCACAGATGATGCTAACTAATCCCGCCTCAGAGTTAAGACTAGTCCCCGGTGTTATTGATGGGTTTTCACTTTGATTCGCACCAAACCCCGAATTTAGATGCAAAATAAAACAGATTTTTGGGCTGAAGAGAAAACACGATGATTGAGCGTTAAAAGGCCCCAAAAACAAGACTTACAATGAGAATCTGCGCTAAAAGATGCTCAAATTACAACAATTTAACGCATAATCAGTTCATATCGGTTAAGAGGCGCGTCTGTTTCTCACTGTTTGAGGAGAAATAGAAAGCATCATTCAAATTAAATCAGAAGTTATGAAATCCTACGTTTTATAGTAGTTATTTGTATAAAATATTTGTATAAAGATTCATCATATGGCGTGGTTAACGGCTCATAGTGAGGCTCAAAGGAATTTGATCAAGTTGCATATTTATTTAACCTAATTTTATGCTCCTGTCCATTCATACCTGGCTGACTCCACTGATTTTGCTGAGGAGTGTCTGTTGTTATATTGTAATAAAACCCAATAATATCCAGAAGCAATAAGCCAAAACAAAACCATCCCCACACATCTGGCTTTCAGACTGAGTAAAAACTGGTAATTACAGTTAAACTGACTTGTTTAACTATAATTACCAGCCTGTTTTGATTTAAGCAAGTCATGAGGTCATGTGTCACAACACTGCTGTTTACAGATATTTAAACTGTGGAAACCTGGATCTTTGAGAGTCTGTAGTTATAATAGTCACAGTGTTTAGATATGATGCTAATAGCTAATCTCATTGTATTATGATTTATTTTTTTTAATTTTTGGACTACATTTTTGAATGTTTTTCTAAACCAGCTGGTTAACTTTAACTGTCCACACTCTTTTTTTGTCAAGAAATAGGTTTATAAAACAAGAATTTTAGAAATTAGATAAAATATTATGTATACATGTTAGTTTCATCATTATCCATTGTTCTGTTCAGACAGATAGGAATCAGATTTAATCCAGAATCTTCCCACCTGAATTCAAATCAGGTTTAATTTATTTATAGATTGAGAACATTTGTTTTAAGGTCCATTATTTTTTAAGAAGTACCTTTAATTTGATCTAAGTTTTAGTTGACAAGTTTTCCAGATTGAGGTCGAACTGAGAGAAAATAAATCAGTACAACATAACGTCTGCTTTAAATGCTAAGAATGAAGCATTTAATTATTTAATCGATCACCTTTACACCAGTTATTCAGCGCGGGGAGCAGCGATACTCAGCACAGTGTGCCAGTGTCATGCTATATAACATTATAGTGGTATAAAAATGTTCTGCATCTCACTCAGAGAAACTGAAAAATATTCCTGCAGACATAAATTTCTCCAACCGTAAGTCGGCTTGTTGCAATAAGAAATAAATCCATTAATCACATAATCAATTAAAACAAGTTCTATAATCTCAATTTCCATGACTCATCATTTCTCTCTTTCTACCAAAAACTGGATGATCAAAGTCTTCAGTCTGGTGTTTTGGTCTCAACTAGCCTTTTTTTTTAAAGGATAACTGTGTTTGCAGAGACTTCATAATTCATTTTATTTGTTGTTTTGTTTATTTGTTTGGGATATTTAAAATATCTTCCTGTGTTAAATGTTCACTAGAATTTAAAGTTTATTGATCTTTGAGAATATGTTCTTACATTATTATGCCATTATATTACTTGAAAATGGTCTCAAAACAACAATAATATCGTTTATTGCAATAACTTCTGGGACAATTTATCATCCAGCAGAACGTATCGTGACAGGTCTGGTTTTGTTTTCTGTCCACCGATGTCTTCATCTTTTATTTTCAGGGCTTGAGACTAGTGTCCATTATCATCCATCCATCCATTTTCTTACACCTTTGTCCCAAGCGGGTCGGGACTATTCATTATCATTTTAAACATAATCATTTGTTTACATGCAGGTAGTCGTTTACGTGCAGTACCATGGTGACCACTAGGTGGCGCCTGTAGATCACATTGTGTGCTGGTGGATGTCTTTTTATTCAGTGTAAATAAAATGTTTTGAATGGTCAGACGGTGTTCCTCCAGGCGGACTGTAAGGCCTCCTCCTTCTCCCCACAGCTGGCGGTTCTCCATCCCAACCTTCCCAACATCCTGCTCAGGGGCTTCACTCACTCCGTGATCGTAGCGCTGTCGTTCTGCACCGCGGCCGCCCCGGACCGGCCCGCCGCCTTCCCTGTCAGGCCGCGAGCCGCCAAAGCCAATGGTAAGCACAGCGGGGCGACCTTAGAGCCACAGACTCTGCACAGCCGCTGCGCTGCCTTCCGCTATCGAGCCGACGAGTATTACGAGGGAGGAGACGGTCCGGGACGCAGAGCCTCAACGCCAGCGATGCCCGGATCCTCGCCGGCCAGCAGCAAGGCTCGGGTTTACACCGACGTCAACACGCAGAAGAACCGGGAGTACTGGGACTACGACGCACACGTGCCAAACTGGAGGTGAGGCGGTGAGGCGGTGCGCCAGTGGGCACCGGAAGGTCATCGTTGTCGTGGTAACGGCGAGTTGTTTCTGCTCTTTTCAGCAACCAGGACAACTACCAGCTGGTGCGCAAACTGGGCCGGGGGAAGTACAGCGAAGTGTTCGAGGCGATAAACATTACAAACAACGAGAAGGTGGTGGTGAAAATCCTGAAGGTGAGAAGACTTCATCATCCTCATCCTCACTGTTACAGATTAATGAGAACCAGGAAACGGCTTGGCTCTCCTCAGTGGCAGCGCCATAAATTACAATGAGAAAAACAATATCACACACAGTGGAAAAGTACTTTTTATTAAACTGAAGGTTTGAAGACGTATATTTCAGATTATTCTTTGCGAAGCTGTTTAAACATTGAACATCTGAACATGACCAGCCTCTCCAGGCTTCGAGCTAAGCCAGATCTTCCTCTCATTTCGGTTAAATCCTGGTTTCTGCTCCTCAGCCCGTCAAGAAGAAGAAGATCAAACGGGAAATAAAGATCCTGGAAAACCTGCGAGGAGGAACCAACATCATCCGCCTGGTGGACACGGTCAAAGACCCGGTGGTGAGTGAGAGCGGAGCGCCTGCCCGGCCGCCCGCCGAGCTGCATGCCCGCCGCCGTAATCCAGCCGGCTAATGATCTCCACTTACCTGCCGCTGCTGTCCGTGTTTGTTGTTTTCTCTTTGCAGTCCAGAACGCCAGCGCTTGTCTTTGAGTTCATCAATAACACAGATTTTAAGGTACTTGAGTTGGGCTGGCTCCACACTACCATCCATGCACCGACAGGCAGCTAACAGATTGACTTCCTGTTAGCATAGAAGCTGCCGGCGGCTAACGGCTAAAACTCGAGTGTCTCTTTTCGTTCCTGCAGGAGCTGTACCAGAAACTGACCGACTACGACATCCGCTACTACATGTATGAGCTGCTCAAGGTGAGATCAGCCGTACGAAGCTTAACCGCGACTTCCAGGGTCTGTGGAGGCAAAAAGAGTAAAACCTCAGCCACACGTAGCGACAGAAACACGGAACAAACAAGAAATATTTATTTGATGCATTACTTCAGCGTTAAGTAAAAATAAAACTGTCATACCAGAAATTACTCCACTAAAAATTATTTAATAAGAAGGCGAAGTATGTCTAGAGGCGGTGTAAAGTATTTACTGCATCTTATTGATCTCTAAATGACTGCAGATGGAAAATATTAGATCAGCAAAGCTGGTATATGAACAAGAGGTCTCACTACAACATGAAGATCTCTGCCTCTGTTTGGTGCATTTTTATTCTTAAGTGAAATTAGTCACATTGTGTAAAGTATCAACAAATTGAACTCAACTCAGAGAAGCAGTAGAAATAAAAAATATGGTGGAGAAAAACTATTAAATAAAGAAATAAAAATACTGAAATAAATGTAAGTAGTGACCATCTTTTGGTCTGTGTTTGATTTTCTATGTAAAAGCTGAAGTTCGTCACAACATGGAGCTGAACATTTCTGCTCAGTGTTTCTGTTTTCTGTAAAATCAAGTTAAACTTTGTGGTTTTTAAACTCATCAGGAAGGTTTTTGGTTTTAGGCCAACATTTTAAAAATCTGCTACTGATTGTTATTTAAAAATCAACAGAAAACAATAAAAACAACTAAATTAAAAGTGCAGGAAACTTTACAAGGACAGTTGTAATTAGGATTTGAGTAATCTCTGTGTTTTTACTTAGTTTGTATTTATTTTCCTGTTAATTATGGATATTTATATAAAAAGCGGAGCGTTGATGAAGGCTGTTGGTCCAGATGGTTAAATGAATTTCTTATTATTCCTGTCTGAGGAGGAAACGTTGACTTGTTTCTGCTCCAGGCTCTGGACTACTGCCACAGCATGGGGATCATGCACCGAGACGTGAAGCCGCACAACGTCATGATCGACCACCAGCTGAGGAAGGTGCTGCTCCTCTTCCTCCTCTTCCGCCCTGAAACGATCGTTTAGCTGCTGAATAAACAGGGCTGGGTTTTAATCAGGCACTTTCAAGGTTTGGAAAGTGCTGGATTTCTGCTTAAAGTCCTGGAAAGTGCTTATTATTCAAACGGCACCGGGTTGTAATAAAGTTTATTTACAGTTGAAACCAAATATTTAAATATGATAAAACGATAAACATTTTGTTTCTCACTGTCTGAAACTAAATTATACAACAGGATATCAGAGCTTCGCTAAGAAAATAAGAAAAAATAAAAGTACGAGAATAAAGTCATAATATTACACCTTTATTCTCCTTTTATTTTGACTCTGTTCTGGTAGTTTTATGGTTTTATATTTAAAGATTATAAAAAGACAAACATATTTTTTACTCTGAAGTTAAATCATACGACATTTATTAGAGATGATTCTAAAAAAATATAAGAATATGAAAATACAGTCATAAAATTATAACAGATAAAGTCTTAATATTAAACATACCAGCATAAAGTTGCAATAATATGAGAACAAAATTACGAAAATAACGTAATATTATGAAAATGACGCCATAACATTATGGGAATGAAGTCGTAATATTACAGGAATAATGTTGTATTTAGTAAGAATAAATTCAGAACTCTGAGAATAAAATCTTGACAATGCAGGAATAAAGTTGTAACGTTATGAGAATAAAGTTAAAAAAAAAACGAGAATAAAGTTGTATCACAAAAATAAAATTGGAATATTTTGAGAATGAAATCATAATTTTAGCAGAATAAAGTGGTAATGTGACAAGAATAAAGTCATGAGAATAAATCTGAATGTTTTGAGGGAAAAGTCATAATATTGTGGTTTTATTCTTTTCTTGGCGCTAACGGTGCTCCGTACAGTAATCAGTTTAACTAATGGAGTCTGTTGTGCTGCAGCTTCGTCTCATTGATTGGGGTTTGGCCGAGTTCTACCATCCCGCTCAGGAATACAACGTCAGGGTGGCGTCTCGCTATTTCAAAGGCCCTGAGCTGCTAGTGGACTATCAGGTTAGTTAATCTGAGTTGAATCTCGTACTTAAACGGCTCGGCTGGTCTGATTCTGCAGATGTTTTTGCAGATGTATGACTACAGTTTGGATATGTGGAGCTTCGGCTGCATGCTGGCCAGCATGATCTTCCTGAAGGAGCCGTTTTTCCACGGCCAGGACAACTACGACCAGGTAGGAGGCGCGCCCGCCGGGAACGGCCTGCGGATCATCCGCACTTTACCACAACGACACCAGCAGGATCGATCCCTCTGAAATTAACTAAACTGAATTATGCTTTAACTATGCAGACACTTTTCTTTAAAGTTTGTTGAGATCCATTTAATCCAAAACAAAAACCGTTTCCATCATCATAAATAATGCTGGATGTTATACACTTCAACAAAACTAAAACTTACCGAGTATTTTAGTCTAGTTTCTAATGCAAATATATTAATGTTCTAACTTACAAATGTAAATGTAGATTAAAATAGTAACTGCAGGTTTTAGCAGTCGTACTGAAGGACATCAGGATTTCTAAATGCTGCATTTTTTAAACTTGTCAGTTTTTTTTTTTTCTGATTGTGGAAACCTGACTAGTGTCCTGTCAGCAGGGGGCGCCACAGATTCCCTCAAAGCTGCTGTGTCAGCTGCGACCTTGGATTCCTCACAGTGGCTCTTAATGACGCAGGATTAAATGATAGTCATTTAACGTCTTCAACTATACATTTAAACCTAACTGCAGGTTTTAGCCGTTTTAACAGCATAATTATGTTGAATTTCAGACATTAATCTAAAAATTTTTTGGCTGAAATTTGCTCAGTTTTTCTATCTAAAATGTCTCTAATAACCAACAATTTAATATATTTTAATTTTTTTACATAATTTGAACTAGGTGAGGTTGTAACTTCACCTGGTTCAACATATTTTATGCTTTTATGGCTTTTTATTTTTATTTTTTATGATCTAAAGCACTTCGAAATGCCTTGTTGCTGAATTGTGCTACACAGATCAACTTGATTGATTGAAAGCTGGGAGTTCTGAGTGGAAAATTACAGAAAGAAAAAGTTTTTCCTCCATCTTAAATGCAAAATGTTTTTATTTATTTTTTTTTATAATTTTGGCTCCACACTCTGTGTTGTTCTGTCAGGAAATTACTTTATTTAGAGTCTCTATGCTCCAGTTAACAACTATTCATTTGCTAAATTAGTTGACATTTATTTCAACTATCGTTTCAGCTCTGCAGCTTTTACTTCTTGGAATTGCATTTTTGAGTTTTGGGTTTCATAAAACAGGTTATTGGCTGGTGTAACATGTTTTTCCAGGAAACAACTGCAAGCAGGAACCTTTAGTTTACTGGGAGCGGTTCTAACTGAGCCTCTCTGTCTGTGTGTGTGTCTGTGTGTGTGTGTGTGTGTGTGTGTGTGTTCGTTCGCTCTGCAGCTGGTTCGCATCGCCAAAGTTCTCGGCACCGACGAACTGTTCGGCTACCTGCACAAGTATCACATAGAACTGGACACTCGCTTCAAAGACCTGCTGGGACAGTGAGTACCAACCCGACCCGGTTCTGACCCAGACAGAACTCAGACTTGTCCTTTTGTTTTTATTTTTCATGATTTTGATCAGTTTTATGAACTCGTCACGTAAAAGTATCAGTCAGGGTGAGGGTACAACAAATGTCCAAGGCGTTACAGATGTGTAAAATTTACTGATTTTCTCCTACACTGGTGAAGGCTCTGCAGGAATGTCCAGCAGGTGCTGGTTGGGTTCAACAGGTGGCGCTGTTTGCATCCAAATATGTTGATGAAACCAAACGAACCCCAAATAAACCTCATGAACACCATGAAACCTAACAGGTGGTGGCAGCATCATGGTCTGGGTTGCATTTCTTCAAATTGATCCTTTTTTCTTTCTTGGATGTTTTTTTGTCTGTCTGCTTGCTAAAATATGTGGAACGTTTCCAAATATGGGATTGTAGTATTACGACTTTATTCTGATATTACAATTTTATTCCCTTTAATTTCAAACATCGTAATTTTCTTAGTCTTGTCTTAATACTCAGTCGTACACTGACTCCTGGACGAAGCCTGAGATTAAAGTTTAACAGTTTTAGTTTCAGCAAACGTCGGCAGCCAGATCCTGTTTTCTTTGCCTCACTAAATATAAATCCTGACGTAATTTGTGTCGTCATACCGTGGCTGACTGTGTGGGGGCGCTGTGGTTCCAGGCAGTCGCGGAAGCGCTGGGAGCAGTTCATCCAGTCGGAGAACCAGCACCTGGTGAGTCCGGAGGCGCTGGACCTGCTGGACAAGCTGCTGCGCTACGACCACCAGCAGAGGCTGACGGCGGCCGAGGCCATGCGCCACACCTACTTCTGTCAGTACCTGCAGTGCACACAGCCGGGTTGCCAGGTTGGGCGGGTTTCCCCCAACTGGGCTGCTTATAAAACACCAGGAGGATTTTTTGAAACATTTCTGTTTTTTCTGAGGAAAATTTAAAAAAAATTATTCTGTTTCAGAAAGGAACCAAAGTTTTCATAAAATCTCATATTATTGGACTTATTAACTAATTTATTTTGAAATCTGTTTAAGTGTCAAAAGTAGTCGCCGGACAAATAACCCAACCTGAAATAAAGTAGCTTCATTTGGTTTATTTTACATTTTTTTGAAATGGAAAAACTTAAGAAGGGTTTTTATGACTGTGTATCTGGGCCATTTTAGAAAGAAAAAATGAAAGACGGAAAAACTTTCCACCAAAAACTTCCAAAATTTTGTGATTAATTTCAGAAATTCTCTAGAAAAAATTCAAGTCAAATTTTCAAAAAATTTTCAGTTTTTTGTCGAAAATTTCTGAGATTAATCTCAAAATTTCAGAGTTTTTGGCAAAAGAAAACTCCTGTTTTTTCTCTACAATAACCCAAATACACTATCGTAGATTTTGCTATGTTAATAGGAGTTGGGCTTTTTTTTTTCTTTGTTTTGTTTGTCCGGTTCTCTGTTGTTTTTGGGCTGGACCTGTGAGTGGGATCCAGCTGCTTCCCATCCAGCAGGCAGGCGAACTCTCTGGAAGTAAACGGGTCGGATGTTTTCTCAGTAGTTCAGCTTCTTCCTGTGAAAGCAGCAAGCGATGCGTTCAGGGAGCCGAGGCGTGGCTGCAGCTCTGCTTGCACCAGTCTTAGGAAAAACTTTGAATTTTTAACCTGTCTGTCACGAGAGGACCCAAATTTGGGTCCTCTCGTGACAGGGGTGTCAAACTCCAGTCCTCAAGGGCCGCTGTCCTGCAACTTTTAGATGTGCCTCTGCTGCACCACACCTGAAAAGAATAATTAGGTCATTAGCAAGGCTCAGGAGAACCGATCTACACAGGGAGGAGGTAATTAAGCCATTTCATTCCACTGTTTTTTTACCTGTGGCACATCTAAACACTGCAGGACAGCGGCCCTTGAGGACTGGAGTTTGACACCCCTGTTATTGTGAATGACAACCTGTGACCAACAGGTCAAAGGTTCTGAGAAAAGGACAATAGATATGTAAAGTGATACATTCCACAGATGAATTAGTTCTCAGCAGAAAGAAAAGGACCAGAAACTGGAGCTCATCCTTGTTTCACAGCCGTTATCTTCCGGACACTCTAGAGTCTGGTTCCAGCCGCTTCCAGGAAGTTTCCGCTCATTCCTCGTCTCCCGTTGGGTTTGTTTGTCCCACAGATCCAGTGGTGAAGGAACAAGCGAACGCCAACACAGACGGCACAAAGGCAATAAGCAGCTCCAATGCAACATGATGACCAGACAGCAGGTAACCCACTGGTGGCCCTCTGGCATGGAATAACAAACGAGAAATGCAGCTTTAAAAACTGAAAACAACACAAACGGGGGGATAACTCTTCACACCTTCCTATATTTAACTCCATCTGTTGTCACCAGAAGGTTTTATTAAACGTGACGCAGCAAACCTCTGAACTTACAGGAAGAGGAGTTTCCACTTCTAGATGGAGGCGTTCTTACTAGGAGACGCAGATCAACGGAAAACAACTAATAAATGTTTCATTGTCCTGGTGCTGCAGCCAGTTTGTACCACAGTCCAGGGAGTCAACAGTTCATTTAATATTAGATTTATCTGCAAACATCCACCGTATTCCTTTACTGAACTCAAAAATCCAGTCAGTGAACGCACCATGCCTTCTGGGTAGCATCGACAACGATCTGCCAAGACTTAATATCTTTATCTAAATTAATCTGTTAATGTCCTGTCCTGTTGTTTATATTAGATTCCATTATATTATTGTATGTTAATTGCTATATTTTATCTCTTTAAAGGATCAAACCTCTGGATTCATCTGATTATCTCCAGTTGGAGGTCCAAATAAAATCAGTTTGTTTAATTAATGAGCGGCGCAGCAAACAGGAGTAATAAACATGAAAACAGGAGTAATAAACATGAAAACAGGAGTAATAAACATGAAAACAGGAGTAATAAACATGAAAACAGGAGTAATAAACACAAAATATAAAATTTGTGTTTATAACGCCAAACAGCAGTTCTAAACAGTCTCAGACAGGATTTAAAACACAGCACCAGGAAATGTTATAGGATTTATTAAATCTGTTTTAATTTCATTAATCTGACTCAGATTTTCTGTCTTCCTTTAATAACTTAAAGTTTTTTCTTCCCACCCATTCAGGAAAAAATCTTTCTTACCTCAACTTGCAACCTTTTCTTGGCAGAAACCTCTGCCTCCACATCAACAGCCATACTGGAGCAAGATGTCAGTTTTTGCAGCACACACACTCAACCCCAACACACACACATCCCAACACACACACACCCAATGGATCAGTACTGGATGGACTAAACCAATCCCATCAGAGCCCAGGGAACCCGCAGCCCCTCATAATTTGGATGGGAAATCGGATCTGAACCCGTTTTTAAACTAAGTGACTCGCCGGATCCGAATCCGGCCGCACCGTCTTTGCAGGAAATCCAGTTCCAGGTTTTAGCACTGACGTGGAGGCTCTTTTCTGCTATGATAGAACAAAAGCTATATTGAAAGAGAATAAACAGTTTTTATTTAAATAACGTGTCCGAGTTTCTTTCCCTGATTGGATTTCACTGTTTCTGTGACATTAAAATAAATCATTAAATACGAGGTCATAGACGAACATTTCCATCTGTAAGCTGATTGGATGTTGAGGAGCTACATCACAGACTGAACTGACCAATCAGAGGGAAGAGTTTATATCTTCAAATGTAAATAATCACAGTCACTTAAGGTTGGTCTTTACATGCATTATTTCCAATCTAAATAAAACGTTTCCCACATTTTTTATGTGAAAATATAAATTATTCTTCAAGATTAAATTTTTTGGCATAAAAACAGAAAATAATAAAATCCAGATTTTGGTTTTGACTTTTTTTTTTTTTTTTGCCTTCATGACAATGAAGTCTTTATTTTGAACATTAAAAAAATAACACTACCATCTCCTAAATGCTGGCCTGAAGGGGGCAAATATTTATCCAGTTTTAATTTTTTTTTATTATTTAGTATTTTGTAAAAATCAGTTTACTCCTTTTTTTGAAGCCAGGTTTTGTTGATTGATTTCTAACACCAATAAAAAGCTAAAACATCCCGGGGTTTGATATGAATAAATTAATCTTTTAAAGTCACTGAAGTATCTTCAGGGTTTCCTTTTTTTACTAAAAGTGCAACATTAGTTGAAGCTTCCAACAGATTTTAGGATCCAAAGTAAACAAAAATTTGTATTTATACCTAATATAAATACAAATGTATTTAATCTATTGTTTCTAGTTTTCCAAATCATATAATTTTTGTTTTACTTAGATGTATTAATTTATTCATATCCAACCACGGTTCTAAATGACTAATTTCTGATGTTGGCGCCTCCAAAAGGATTAAGAAATTTCAGCATCTTTGAGACTTTAAGCCAGTTATGTGGTTTTTTACTGTCTTATTTTCTTAATTATCTCCATGGTATCCAGCTCTAACACTTTTTTATTTAAAAGAAACTGAGTTTAGTTTATGGGATAATGAGTCAAAGTGTGTTTAGCTTAGGGTTACGGTTTTTCATTTAACCCTTTTTAACCAGATCAACAAGGTTTAAGGTTTCATAATTACACCATAAAATATCCTGTTATGTCAGAGGTCTTCAACATGGGGGGCGCAACCCCTGGGACACTTCAGATTAATTACATTTTTATTTTTAAATTCAATATCTTTAAATACATATTAACACAACTCCACTATGTAGTAAATTAATTAGAGGAGGCAAAAGTGATGGATTTCAGTTAAGCTCGTACAGAAACGTTTGAGTGTTTGGGCTTGGAAGTAAATTCAGGAGCAAAACGAGTTTTGAACCTCGAAGTAAAATTTCTGATATGATTATTGCTCCTGAATTTAGTTCCAATTTCAGGCAGTTGAATACTTCCGTAGAAATGAGCAGGTTGAGGCGGTAAGAATCTGTTCATGTTAAAAGTTTTGCGTTTTGGTCATAGCAGTAACGTTAAATGTCCAGAACTTTAGCGTTCAAACTTAAGTTTAAAATAAAACGTGAAATGAAGACGGTGTGTCGGTTTATTGGACAGTAATGAGCCAGACTGCAGAGCTCAATAAGTGCGTGTTTAATAAATAACACTGGAACTTCAACATGTATTTCCAGAACAGAAAACACTTGTGCAACATTCGTGCGTTACAAGTTGGTGCATTCGTTTTGGGAGAATCCGGGCCAAAGTTCTGAACGGGACGGCCTGCTCAGATCCGAAACGTTCCTGCTGAGGCGACGTGGACTGTAAACACAGCAGGGAAAAGTCCAACCGCTTCCGAAAAAATCAAACCCACGCATTTAAAAAGCATCCACCGGTTTTCAGATAAAAACATATGACCTGGTTCTGCTCAAACCCGAACCGAATGCCGTGACCGGCGTCTGTAGTGTCAAAGTAAAAAGCAGCCAACGAACTCAGTAATTAGCTACATCAGATGAGCGCTACACCCATCGAAGGCACCGCGAGACCCGGCCTCCTCAGAACCACAGCTGGGTTCAGCTGCTTCACTAAACAACCAAAAACAGTAATAGATGCCACTTTGGCATTTCATCCATTTAAAAAATCAGGACTGGGTCAACATTTGGGAGGTTTATGGTTTCACTGCAGGTGTTGTTTGTGAGCATAAAGTTTCTCAGATAAAATATTCAAAATATAAGAATACAAAAGATCTAACAACAGTTCTGATAAATAAATTCTCCCTCCAAATGTTCCCCTTCAAACTTTGTGTGTCCCATCTGTCCACCAGATTGTTAGCACTAGCTTGAAGAAGATACAAAGAGGTGTGGCTAACAGTTAAACCATGATTATGTGCAGAAAAGTGGGACTTTTGGCTGCTTCCCTTCACTGCTGCTAATGTTTTATCCAACTTCTCCACAACACGTTACTTTAAAGTTTCAGATGGCTAAGGAGAATAAAGTTTTGACAGCAATATTTGTGTCATGCATTTAAGCTGATTATGTGCAAAAAAGTGAGACTTTTAGCTGCTTCCCTTCACTGCTGCTGTGCTTTATCCACAACACTTTAATAATCTGGTGACCACTGTTTTAAATTTTTGGATAGTTTAGAGCGTAACAACACCCCCAGTAACAATTTTTTAATCAGACCTTTGTTTGATAAAGTCTGTTTAAATATCTGTGTAGGGTGTCGGTCTGTTAGGTCTCCTTTATACCATTATTTTTGACTTCCATGAATAATATTCATCTTTTAAACTCCCTTCCCCTTTAGCCAAAAAAGCTTATTTTCAGCTAATAATGTTAAAATTTTTCTTTTATAATCCTATTTCTGCGATCGATTAGTATTCCTACATTTCATTAAGCTTATTTGCTTAAAATGGTTATTTCCCTTCAAATACATTGATTAAAGTTTCAATGAATTATATTTTTGATTTAAAAATCATGATTTTCAGGGGCAGTAGTCACCAAAACCCTGTTATCTTTGGAAGACGCTCACCAAAGATCCCAAATGTTGAACCAAACAAAGTAAAGTTTGGTTGTTGCAGCAGGAGAACTCACAGTAGTGAACTAAGAAAGCCCACCAAGGACACAGTTAAGACAACGCCGCTGATTAGCTTCATTATAACACTGATAATTAAAACCCTGGGGGCGAAACGCTTGGCTGAGTCCAGTGGCACTTGGTATTTAAAGATTCATGGTCTCAGTCACTGCAAACCCACCTGGTTTTAAATGTTGTGTCCTTGGTGTTCTTTTTAAAAATGCAAACAATCTAAGGCATAAAAACGTTGTTTCAAAAACAAAACATAAAGCTAACACCAGTGACATTCATTTTGTTCTTTTTGCAACGTAACAAAAACGTAAACAAGTGCATAAATAAAGCCGCCTATGATTATGTGAGTCTACATATATAATGGTGGTTACATAGTGATAATAGTGAGGTAACTTGATAAAGGGAGCGCGGTTAAAATGCGCCGATCCGCAGCACAACCATGCATCCGACTGAAAACGAAGGAGGCGTCGTCCCGTTTGGATCGTTCAAGTTTTGTAAAAACGCTGGACGGGTTTTTCCACGTAAAGTGACGTTACGATGCAACGTGTTTTTCCTTGTCAAGTTTTGGTACGACGCAACGTTTTGGTGGTAATCAATAAAAACTCCGGGCGAGTTTTCCGCATAAAGAGCCGTTACGATGCGACGCGTTTTCCCCGTAGAGCGCCGTTACGATGCGACGCGTTTTCCCCGTAGAGCGCCGTTACGATGCGACGCATTTTCCCCGTAGAGCGCCGTTACGATGCGTTTTCCCGTTACGATGCGACGCGTTTTCCCCGTAGAGCGCCGTTACGATGCGACGCGTTTTCCCCGTAGAGCGCCGTTACGATGCGACGCATTTTCCCCATAGAGCGCCGTTACGATGCGACGCGTTTTCCTGTTACGATGCGACGCGTTTACCCCGTAGCGCGCCGTTACAATGCGACCTTTTGTGGGAC